CAGTTAATAGAAGACTGCTATCCCGTTTGCAGAACGTGCAGGAAACAAGTGTCTGCAAAAGGCAGCAACACTTCGAATCTAATGGAACATCTGCGTGACCATCACCCACGTCTCTACAGCCAGTGCAAGGTAAGTTAACATTAGCATTTTAGTTTAAATGCATGACGTGAGGACTTTTGGTTGAGGGAGAATGCAACTATATACTGCAGCCGCAGCGCCCTCTGCCAGCATTTAAACCGTGTCACGGACACCCTGTTGCTGGATGAAGCATCTTATTTGTTGATGATGAAGAGAAATATACAATTAGTTCCTTGTCATTGATTTGTTTACTTATTCAGTGCCATTTATACTTGAACATTTGGATTTGATTACATAGTGTAGTAGTTATTTTAGTAATTTGTTTAAAGTGGCTATTTATTTTAAATACATATTTTTTTAAGGTTGACTTGTACAGCGCTCAAGTCAAGTGTGGACTGGAGTTTTAGATTTTCATTTTGATAATGAAGAAAACAAGTATATGAGAAAACAAGTGGTGTTTCTTTGATTTGTTTACATATTGTTTATGTTTTGAATGTTTGGATTTGTATAATTTAAACCTGCACTGACTACTGTAACATGTTCCAGAAAAAGAAGCTATTTGTTCCTTTACTTGTGAAAAGTCGCACTTTTGCTAAGGCTTTGTTATTTTAGGTTTAATAAACACTGTTAAACCTTTTCAAAACTATTTTTGTTTGTGTAGAACAGGACTATCAATGCTTTCTGAACATATGCAACACCGTTTAAAAAATACCGCGATAATACCGAAAACCGTGATAATTTTGGTCACAATAACCGTGAGGTTAAATTTTCATACCGTGACAACCCTAGTGTTAACAGACAGCTGTACCAGTGTTTTTAAAGCTCAGACTGATAGAGATTAGGCACTAAGGTTGATATATGACAAGACTAAATACTTTCCATGCATTTAATCAGCTGATGAATCTATGTATATAATTTCTCGACTGCTTAAAGGGAGGTAACTTGTAAATATTTTACAGGAGGAAAAATATAGAGATGTATATCAGCTAAAAGTTTAAGTTTTGGTCCATATCGCCCAGCCCTGAGTAAAATCAACACAGAACCCCTCTCAACTGTTGATGCTCGGGGAGCAGCGGATCTTCTCCGGACCCCTCCTGGACATCAAAGCTCCTTATCTGATAACAGCCAATCAAGGTGAGTGTGGCCAGAAAATGCTTGTTTTCTTATGCTGGGAATATGGAGCCTAAGTCACGCCCATCTACCTCTGGACCATGGGTAGAATGAAAAAATGAATGCAAGTCAATGGGGCTATAAAAGCTATTTCTAACCCCACGTGTTACGCTCCATGGATTTCACATATAATGTCCGTGAATTTTAAAGACTCATTTTGATACCCAGAACGCACTTATTTTCAAATGGGGAGAAATGTTATTTTAGGTTTTGCGTGAAAATAAGTCCTAGACTCAGACTAAAATTGCACTTCACAAAAGTGACGTCATCGAACCAGACACGGAGAAAAACAGGAAAAATGACTAAGTCCAGCAAACTGTGGTAAGTAGCAGCTATGCTAGAGGAGAGGAGATTCGGTGGTGACGTCATATATGCGATGTCTGATTTGTAGTTATTCTAAATACTAACTTTTACAAGATTATAAATCTCAAAGTGCGTGACAGGTGTGGTGGAAACACACATCATTACTTTACATTTGAATTGAATTAAAACATACGTGCGATCCAGGGCACGAGGCAACGTGGATTAGAAAATAGCTCTTTTAACCCCATTCACTTGCATTCGTTTTTTCATTCTTCCGGGGACCCATGAGCCGACTGGAAAGGGAGGAGACTTGCTTTTTAATTACGCTTACGGTATGTATGTTTAAAATGGCTGCCTCACGTAACTTGACTTGATTTGAAGCATCCTTTGTGTTTCCAGAAGTTATGCATCTGCAAGCTGCAATATACAAGTAACATGCAGGCAGAGTTGACATAACAAGCGAGACACACTCTACATCACATATGTCAGAGTCAAGGCCCGCGGGCATTTTTATGTGGCCCGCGAGATAAATATCAAAAATATATTAAAACTGGCCCGCTGGCCGATTTTACCGCAAAGACTTCAACTCCCATGATGCTTTGCGGCGTCAGCGCGGAGGCGACGCGCCCCCTCCTTTGTGTTTTTTCCAGCCCAAGGCAGTCAGGGGTAGTTGGGTCTCTGCAGCTCCGCTGTCTCGGACAAACTACACTCCTCTCACTCAGCGCCGAGTTCACTCAGCTGTTTTCTGACGTTGAAGCCCAGAAACGGAGATTCTAGCCGCTCAGTAATGTGTTCACGACTGAAAGAGAAAGTTTTCCAGCTAACTTCCAGACAGAGCTGATATAACTCCAGCGAACAGCGACACGCTCAAACCAGCATGACTCTGTGGTTGCTGTCGTTGTGTTTCCTCCCCGACACACAACAACGTGGTCAAGTTGCTCAGACATGTTCATCAGCACAAACCTATGTGAGCACCTGTTGTCATCTAATGTTGTCATTATTATGATGAAGATGAACAAAACAACAGGAGTCTCCTCCTCAGCTCAGATCAACCCCATGATGCAGGTATCTGGCTGGAACAGATGAGCATCACAGTAAACCAGTGGAGCAAACTGAGCTTTAAATATGTTGGTTTTATGCTCTTTTTCTGCTCCAAAACATGAAAGTTAACAGGTGAGATGTTGCATTTTCATTTAAGATAAAATGATATTTTTATTTTGTTGTTGGCCCGTGAGAAAAGATTTAAGCTACAGTAAACAGGAAGTGGAAAGGCTGCAGATAGATGAATAGAATAGAAAATCCCTTTATTGTTCCTCAGTGGGGAAAGCTAGACATCACAGCAGCGATGACACGTATTACAGGAGAAAAAAGGGAGAATAAAAAATAAGAAAAATGAATAAACAAGAAAACATAAATCCTGAATAGATTTTAAAAATGCTGAATATACCACAAGTAATGAATACCACTGATGCATTTTATTTAAAACTGACTTGTTCGTGTGTAATTTGGTTATTCCACATTCAGTGTTAATGCAGAAATAAGTTTGTTTCCAAATTTAAAGGTTCAAAATTGCATATATGTTGATAAAGAAAATGTGCAAATTTGCCGTCACTTTTTCAAAAAATATTAAGTTTGGCCCTCGACTCCGTCCCAGATTTTCATTTCGGCCCCGTGTGAGTTTGAGTTTGACACCCCTGCTCTACACGATCTCTGGTTTAGAGGTCTTACATGCTATTTACAATACCGCTGCTGTCTTTATTTCTGCCGTGACGTCAAAGTTAACCAGTTACCGATCTCTTCTATTGACAACATCATGTTTGTTTTTGTTGTACCCCACAAACCTGGGACTCTATCTGGTCTGGGTTCTCTACTGTGCCCTCTAGTGGGACACTCCAGTACTACGTGAAGTGCATCAGCCCGCTATCTGCGTCTACACGAGGCTAAAAATGACAAAGCCCTGAAACAGATAATTCTAGACTGTCAAGAATAAAGCTGCACTTTAATCTGAGAATGATTTGGTGCACAGAAATTCATGAAAATGTTTGGTTATTGACCACACAGACTTGTAATGACCTTTTTTAATCCCATTCAAAACTCAGACAAGATAGGTGACTGCTGAGATGCACTCTATCATGAGCTGCTAGATCCTTAATTCAAAAATATTTTGCCTTCAAGAATAAGAAGTGGGCCACTAAACAAGACCTTATCATAAAATAGAAACTTTAGTTTTTACAAAATAAAATAGCCTCAGCAGTCGCTCCTATTGCCCTAGTAGCATGGTTTTAATTCAGACCACACCTTATAAACCTCCCACCCCCCCAAGCCAAGTTTCAGAACTGAAGAAACTTCTTGAATGAGACGCAAAACATCTGCAAGGAAAACCAGAAATGTTCAGTTGTTTCCTTCAACACTTCTATATTAAATAAAAATTGATTCACAAAAGCAACAAGCATACAGCCTCTGTTGTTTCCTCCAAACAAGCCCCCACCAGTAACACGCCCTTCAGTCACCACCAGCTTAATATATTTTTTATTTGTTCTTCCTGCCTGAAAGTCGAGCTCCACTAGCAAGTTATAAAAACCAGACATATCAAAGATGTTTCTGCTTTCACTCATCCTGTGACTTTTTCTAAGTTTTACTAAACCAGATCCTCTGCATGCGAGTATCGTTACATTTCTCAGGCCACTGCATAAAGGAGCTTCAAATAAACAAGATACTGAAATAACTCAGTGATAACAAAAGAGATAAAGGGCTCATGAGAAGATCCAAGATCATTCTTGACTGAGTGCCTTTCCTAAACAGAGTTATCTCTCTTAAGTCTGTCTTGGCACTGAATCGAGCTATTCAGAATGGTTCTATAAAAAGTGTCTAATTATATTAGAATTAAAACAAATAATGACATTAATCTGACTCATCATATATCTTACTAGGCAGAAATGTAAATATTCCTATAAAATGTCTTGCACTGACATCATCCTTTTAATATCTTACTCAACACGTTTCAGTAAAACTTGTTTGGTATTCGTTTTGAGCGGAAAACGTTTTCAGCAAAGTTAAATTATGAGGCAGGCAGAAAATATACATTCCTTCTTACTTACATTTTTATTACCTAATGATCATTTAAAAACATGATTTATAATAAATATATTTAATGTGATCTCAACGCTAACATCAAAAGATCTTAGCTAGCTAATAAAGTTGATAGTACTGAAAGTATTACCTTTAATCCGCCCAGGATTAATACACTTCATAATAATCCGGTTAGATAGATCCACGTGTAATCTAATCCCAACAGGCCTTTTGTTTTTATTATTTGGGGTGGTGTAATGCAGAGAATCAGCCCATCGAGCAGGCGCGAACCGGACCGGACGGGAAAGATCCAAAAACCACTTCGCGCTGCGGCAGTGAAACACTCCCGGCTTACAAACAGAATTACGACGGAAACGTACCTGTTCTTTTTAAAACTGGTATCTCTCTCCTTCTCCACACACGGGCGACACATTTCTCGGACGGCTCCCAAAGACTGGAGCACCAGGCCGGAGCCTCCGGAGAGAAAAGAAAAACCAGAAGGCAGGACGACTCAGCCAGGAGGAGGCACTACTGCCGCGGTAGAACAAAACAGGCGGAAGTGGTAAAAGATCGGTTCTTTCAAAATAAAATAAAGGGGTAATTCAAAATACCGAGTAGGGAATTGTTTTATGACCCAGACAACGCTCAGGAGTCAGTTAAACTTTTTTATTCCCGCATTTCTAAGTAGAATAGATTAGAGAACTTCTCTATTGTCCTTCAGTGGGAAAATTTAAATGTAACAGCAGCAAAGAAAATTCATAATAACAATAAAATGTTGCACAGTGAATACAAAATATATACCTAAAATACATTAAAATGGAACTTTTTGAAATTTAATATAGCAGACTGCTGACAACATGAATAGAAAACTGTGCAAATGACCTCTGAATGAATGAACAATTGAATGAACGAACGAACGAATGAATGACACAAAAAGCAGCAGGGATGCAAAACTGTTCACTGGGTGTGTTGTTCCTCAAGAAATTACACACACTAAGGTGCATAAATGCATATTGTCATATTATTTTACTCCAATTTGACTTCACACAATATTAACATTTAATATTAAAATGAATGAAATGATGGCCCTAATATACATGTGCAAGTTTATTTGTATAGATTCTTGTCAAATTCACTGATATTCTACTTTTGTCCATCTATCCATCCATTTTCTTCTGCTTATTCTGAGTCATGTCACTGGGGCAGCAGCCTGAGCCAAGAAGTCCAGACTTCCTTCTTCCCAGCCACTTGGGCCAGTTCCTCCGGGAACACCTCTCATGACATTCTCTGACCAGCTGAGAGACATAGTCCCTGCAGAGTGTCCTGGCTCTTCCTTTGGGTCTCCTCCTGTTTGGACGTGCCTGGAATATCTCAGGGAGGCATCGAGGATGCATCCTAATCATAGCCACCTCAACTTGCTCCTCTCGATGTGTAGGAGCAGCAGGTCTACTTCGAGCCCCTCCCGGATAACCAGGCTTCTCTCCTTCCCTAAGGGAGAGCCCAGCCACCCAGCAGAGGTAACTAATTTTGGTTGCTTGTATCTGCAATCTCGTTCTTTCGGTCACTAAAGCTTGTGACCATAGGTAAGGGTAGGAAAATATCTTGACTGTTAAATCGAGAGCTTCGCCTTCCAGCTCAGCTCTCTCGTAACCATGACAGATCGGTACAATTCCCACATCACTGCAGACGCAGCACCAATCTGCCTATTGACATCGCGCTACATCTTTCCCTTGCTTGTGAACAAGACCCTAAGATACTTAAACCCCTCCACTTGGGGCAGGACCTCATCCCTGACCCGCAGAAGGCATTCTACCCTAGGCTTGGGTGGTATTACGGTATTACCGTATACACGCGGTATTACAAAATAGCGACGGTGTCAGTTCCACTACCGTCGTGAAAAACAGCTGTGCGACTGACCAGTTCCTCTATCCTCCCCATACTCCAGCTCTGCAGGGCGAGCGTGTTGGCCGTGTCAGAAAACAACCTCCAGCTTACAAAGTCAATAAAAACCACAATTCTAAAAAAGCTGGAGGCCAAGTATGAATCTGATTCAGTGCGCAAATTAATGCGAAAATGCACTTTCCTCGATCCTCGTTACCGTGGCAGAAATGAGCTTGATGACAGCGCACTGGCTGAAATCAAAGCTGAATTACAGGCTGAGATCGTGAGCTTAGAGGGGCAAACAGCACCAGAAGCAGTGGCCATCCGAACCATAGAGGAACAAGCACAACCTGAACCCCCACGCAAAAAGATGTCTCTGGGGGCTCTCCTGCAAAAACGAGCCGCTGACGCTGCGCCGGAGGGTCCCGTCAGAGCAGAGCAGCGAGCTGGAGCTGAAATAACAGTGTACTGTTTGGAAGCTGTTATTCACGGGGACGAAGACCCTCTTCTCTGGTGGAAATATGCTGGCAGTCGTTTTCCCCAGATGTCACGACTGGCCCGGAGGTATCTATGCATTTGTGCCACCAGGTCACCATCGGGTTTTCAGCACCGCAGGTAAAGTTGTTGGTCCACAATGTGCAAACTTGAACCCAGAAAAAGTAAACATGCTGGTTTTTCTGGCGAGAAATCTTAACTAGATTTGCTGCAACATGCCGTAATGTTCACACTCCTGTGTGTGTGCGCGCACGCGTGTGGCCGTGTGACGGAGTTTTCTTTTTATAATTTTAATGCAGTTGTTTTGGTTGCAATAATTTTTATAATTTCAATGTTTATGGTTATTCAACTCTTGCTGACTGTTACGGCCTATTTGCACTGTTTCATGCTGCCCGTTGATAAGTTGTTCACTTGATTTGCGCACAACAGCAGTCCTGGGTTTTTATGTTGATTTATTGCTGTTGGACTGTTAACTCTTTGCACTTGTTTATAAGCTGCGTTTTTTGTGTTAATAAATGTTGTTAATAGTATGTGAGTTGCGTTGTTATTTTTTTAGTAATTGTTTGGTAGGATTCAGAAAGGTGAAGGTCCACTTGAGGCTTATGTCATACTTGTTAAGTATTCACGGTAATACCGTATACCGGGGTAAAATTAAGTGGAAGTTAGACGGTATTCAAATTTGGATACCGCCCAAGCCTATTCTACCCTATTTTTGTAATAAAGAAAACACAAAAATACTTTAAACATTGGATAAAATAGATTCTAATATGTTATACGAATGTTTAAGGTGCTAATCAATTTCCCTCTGGGATTAATAAAGTATTTTTGAATTGAATTGAATTTGAAAAGAAATTATACTAACAATTGATGAACAACTCAACATGGATAATTAAAATTACTTTATTTTTTTACACACACAAACTGTTCTAATTCTAATGACCACCAGCTATAGTTTCCTATAGTTTTTTTTATTCTTGCCTAAACTATTTCCCCAATCTCAGTAATGAAACAACCACAACAACAATAAGACATGTGACCAAGATCACAAAGCTCTTTTATTTTCAGTTGTATTGCAGAATCATGATGTCTTTTTCCTGGTTTTTGTAATCTGAAACGAACTGAATAATGTTGCAATCAAAGTCTCATGGTTTCATTTATGGTGACACAAGACCAGGGGACAGGCTTGATTCAGGAAGTGTTTTGAACAGAACACAACATGCATCACATGTTAACGCATTTATGTGTACTTACAGGGATCTAACTATGAATGTAGCATTTGATCCTAATGGTTTAGTAAGGAAGTACATTGTATCATTCATTTTATCATTTTATCTATATTTAAGTTGATCACCTCGACTTTTAGATCTGATTTTTGGAACTTCTAGAAGGTTCTGTTTTGTTGATCTGGGGGCTCGGGTTGGAGCATATGGCATTTGTTCAGTAAAATAGGGAGGGGCTTGACCACGTAGGGCATTGAAAGTTATAGTCAGTATTCTAAAATGAACTCTAAAGTTAACGGGTAACCAGTACAGAGACAACAGAATAGGAGTGATGTGAGCTCTTCTGTTTGTTCCAGTTAGGAGCCTTGCTGTAGAGTTCTGGACCAACTGAAGGGTGTTTTTGTTAAAACATATGAAAAGTGTGTTACAGTAATCTAGACGGCAGGATAACCTTTTTAAGTTCATGTTTTGACACCAACCTTTGCAGTTTGGAGATTTCTCAAGTAATAACAGTTTTGGACCAGCGTTTCTGAGTGGCCTTCAAGATGCATTGATTGGTCGAAAACAACCTCCAAATTCCTCAAGTTTGACTCGACAACAGAAGATAAATGAACAAGTTTATGACCTAGTTTATTTTTGAACATTCTTGACTGGTGTTACATTACACAGTCTCAGTGTGGAGAAGGCTTCTACAATCATGCTAACCAAAATATGATGCAACAAAAATCTCTGCACTTGTTGTCTCTGTACCAAAAGCTTACAAATAACCCGATGAACAGGAGAGAAAGTTTTAGCAAATGAAAAAAACAAAACATTCTCCTTCCAGCAGGCCTCCTACACCATTGATGTGCTGTCTATACTTAGTTACATTATTTTTATTTAATTCACACATTTGTAAACTCTATTTCTTCCATTTTATTTTCATTTTTCTCAGCAAACCAATAAAAATGTTGGCAAAAGCACTACATTTACTCTAATTAAAGGTTTGGTGTTAGAATCCTCCTGGCAGACTACAAAACAAACTCTTTTAAACCTTTTAGAGCAGAAACACCCACTTCAGTCACCTTCATCTAAATAAAATTCTTGTTTATTCTGACAGTTTTTCATTTCAGCGCTTCATACCTGCAATAGATTTGGACATAACCTGTCATGACTCGAGGTAAGTGCCTAACCCAAGACATGCAGAATCATTACTCGTCGGGCAGATTAGGTAAAGTAAAGTTCTTTATTACAAAACGGGAACAAAAATAGCACAGGGAAGTCCTGTGGAAGTGAGCGGTGCAGCTCAAGTCCGTGTAGCTTTCGGGATGAACGAGAGAGGAGGGGAAGCCGAGGTGAGCCCTGGGCAGAGGGTGAGCGATCCGGGATGGGTGAGGTAGCAGAGGGAAACCAAACAGGAACAACGGAGGAGGATGGGACGTGGTGTGTGAAATCCAGAGTACGTAGACAGCGAGGGTGGAGCCGGTGGTGTGAGGATCCAAAACTGGAGCAATCCGGCACAGTGAGGTGTCTCCATCCTCCTTTTAAACCTGCGTCCCTGATTTGGAAATCTCCTGCAGCTGCAGCTCCCTCTGCTCCTCACCTGTGGAAAATTAGCTCAATGCTGATTAGAGGAGATGGTGTGACTCACCTCTGCCCAGGTACATGACATAACCAGCATAATCTTTCTGTAGACCTGTTTGTAAGTTTGAAGAAATTATATGAGATTTCTCAGCATAACTGAACATTTTTAAGCTAAATACTATAAAAATATAGCCTGGCAAGCCAGACTAAATAAATGTATTATTTAACTTTGCAAAGCAAGAATTTGGTCTAGTTCACTCGGCTAATAAAAATAGGCAGTTTTACCACTTTAAGAGTCAGACATAGTTTGGTTGATCTTACTCGGAGGTGATATCCATTTGCCATCCTCTGGTGGTTAAAAGAAACTACTTAGCAATGGCTGATTAAGGTAAGATAAAAATATTAATTTAATTTATCCTTTCGTAAAACAAAAAAAAAAAACCTGACTTTTACTGTAATCTAAAATAACTGTATCCCACAAATACTTTTATTACTGTGTGGTTCCGCTGAAAGGAATCTTTAGTTGGGAAGAATTGGAAGAATTAAAATGATTAAGTGTCTGTTTTGCCTCGGTCTCCAAAGTGCCTTGCAATGGCCCTGGTTTTTAGTTTAAAAAGCACTGAAGTGTGATAAATCCACCTACCTTTTCCTTTTCAAGCACTTTTAGTTTTCTTGTTTTTTATTTGACTATTTTCCTGTAATGTCTGTCTTTTATTTTCCTGCATCTCCCCTCAATATTCCAGAAAAACTGCTTCCTGGCTTCCTACTTTTTCACAACATGAGCTACTTTTGAACTAAGCAGATCAAAGGGATCTACTGACCGCAAAAATAGCAGAGTGTGCACTGTGCGGCTGCGCTAGTAGGCATTCCACACCGGCTATGGGCAGCGGAGGCATCAGGCACAAATAAAAGACAAAAAGTACCAGAGAATATGAGTGGACATATAACTATAATGTGTTAATTATGGTTAAATGGTAAATGGCCTGTATTTGATATAGCGCCTTCTAGAGTCCTGGAACCCCCCAAGGCGCTTTACAACACAATCAGTCATTCACCCATTCACACACACATTCACACACTGGTGGGGATGAGCTACGATGTAGTCACAGTTGCCCTGGGGCACACTGACGGAGGCGAGGCTGCCGAGCACTGGCGCCACCGGACCCTCCGATCACCACCAGCAGGCAAGGTGGGTTAAGTGTCTTGCCCAAGGACACAACGACAGCGACAGACTGAGCAGGGCTTGAACCTGCAACCTTCCGATTTTGGGGCGAGCACTTAACTCCTGTGCCACCGTCGCCACAGTCTGGTGGCGCCACTTTGAGAATGTTACTGTGGATGTGCGCAGGACGCAGCTGCCGGGAGCGCATCAACAATCAGCACTCTGTCCTCTCTGTTGAAAAGAAGTCCTGGTAAAATGAGAGTATATATAGATAATGTAATATAGTCAGAAGCTGGTTCTTTTTTCTGGTTGCCCCTGGGTGTGTAGCTTGAAGGCTTCCAGGGGAGTCCATCACCCTTTCATTGAAGCTGGGCTCCCCTTATTTCCCCCGTATTTCAAACCCCCTTATTTCCCCCGTATTTAAAACCCTGAAAAAAGGTCCATCCATTTTCTTCTGCTTATCCAGAGTTGGGTTGCGGGGGCAGCAGCCTAAGTCGACTTCCCTCTCCCAAGGCGTTCCCTGGCCAGATGAGAGACATAGTCCCTCCAACATGTCCTGGGTCTCCCTTTAGACCTCCTCCCAGTTGGACGTGCCCGGAAAACCTCACCAGGAGGCATCCTGACCAGATGCCCGAGCCACCTCAACTGGCTCCTCTCAATTTGGAGGAGCAGCAGATATTCTCCGAGCCCCGAGCTTCTCACCCTGTCTCCAAGGGAGAGCCCAGCCACTCTGTAGAGAAAACTCATTTTGGCCGCTTCTATGCGTGATCTCGTTCTTTCGGTCACAATCCAAGGCTCGTGACCATAGGTGAGGGTAGGAACATATCGACAGGTAAATCAAGAGCTTTGCCTTCTGGCTCAACTCTCTCTTCACGACAGACCAGACAACGTCTGCATTACTGCAGACGCAGCACCAGTCTACCTATCGATCGTGCGCTCCATCTTACCCTCACTCGTGAACAAGCCCCCGAATTACTTAAATTCCTCCACTTGGGGCATGAGGGCATGACCTCATCCCTGACTTGCAAAAGGCAAACTGAAAAAAAAAAGTCTTTGCTGGAATGAAAATAACTTCCAACAACAAAAAGATGATCATCAAAATGTTTTATCAAGAAAAAGTTTCAGAAGAAACTTTTGTGTTTTGAATGTAATTTAATTTGGACATGAGTTTTATTTTGAAAGTACCGGCGTGTGCGTCATCAAAGCGCGTCCGTATTTTTCGTGAAGGAAGCTGCAACTTTTTTCTGTAAAACGCTTTTCAGTTCTCGTAAAAACGCCAACTATCATGTTATTTATTAAAAGTTGTCTTACTTTTACAACATTTTGTAGTAAGAGACTTCCGGTCAGCCAGTTAATGCGGTGTAATTATCGTCGGTTTAACGTATCCAGACATGGTGCTTCTATCGGGACAGGACAGCTCTCCGTGGTGTTATATCGCTTCTTACCTGCTCACAGGTTTGCATCTCATCTCAGCTGTTTCAGAGGACTCTCATCTTCACCTCCTGACAGAGAAGATGCTGTTGGAAAGATCCAGTCAACACATTACCAACTGATATACACATGCAAGGTTGCAGAACCAAGACAGTAGTTTCGTTTTGGTCCTTTTTTATTTTTACTAGTTACCTTTTTCAGTTTAATATTTCATGACTAAACTTTTATCCGAGTCTTTAAAAGAACGACGTGTTATGTTTGCAGGTCTGCTCTACCAGATCAACGCAGAAGATCTCTAAGGTGGCTTACTACAGAGGTGTGGTGATAGTGACATGTCCAGGATGCAGGAATCATCACGTCATCGCTGACAACCTGAGCTGGTTCTCAGATCTGGAGGGGAAGAGGTTGGTGATCAGACATCCTCGTTCATCCACGCTGGAGTTTTTACTGATATCCTTTAGAGGTCTTAGATGACAACTCTATATCAGACATATTCAGTGGGATTCTTTAAAGGTGCAGTATGTAAGAATATAGGTAGAATTTTACAGTGAGAAAAGCCCAAAAAGTCTAATGTTTCAGTCATTTTAGAAGGAAGGTTATACTGAAATATGTTTCATATCCAGCTGGCTGCGAGGACTGTCAGTTTTTCTCCTTTCCAAACAAAGGAAGGAGGGACGTAACTAGGGCTGAAATGAATCATCGGATGATTTCAATGGTTTGATTAATTAAATTCCTCAATTCATTTTTTACTGATTCGAAGCTTCATTAAATGTGCGCTCCACGGTCTCAACACATTTTACTGGCGCACTGTGTGGTGACCTAGGTGCTGTGGAGGAAAATAGAGAAACCAGCAAAGACAGAAACCATGTAAAGCGGGTAGCATTCTCACGAGCAAGTGTAGTTCAGAAAAAACGTGATGGTTGTGAACGACTAAACTCCACAAGCTGAAGGAAAATCCCCACCATCCCATTTATTTATGAATCTCTGCACCAGTGTGGGGCAGAGCCGCTGCAGCTACCTTCTGGTTGTTTCTACGAGTTAGCCCCATACACCGCAGATGTCTGTGGCAAACAGTTGCAGCATATAATTCACTAACACTTTTATTTTTCAATGCAGTTTAGACTAGATTGTGTTGCCAACCTGTACATAATAAGATAAATGTACCACAAGTACATTGTTACAAGTAAAAATTAAATGTTAGCATTTCTAGTAGCTTACCACTGAACATGTTAATGAAATAATGAAATACTACTCATTCTATGTGAATATTTTTAGATATGTTTTTTTGACTAGGATGAGGTCAATACAAACCTAAATTTTGAATGAAATGTAAGTTAAATGTTGTTCCATAAAATATTTATTAACTATAAAAATCGACTGGGAAAGAGGGAACTAGACAACACCAATTTAATATATATTATTGAGCCTTTTATAATTTTGCTTTTTATTTTCATATTTTTAGCAGCAGACCATGATCTCGTGTCACTTGAAATGTCATCAAATAGAATACTCGATTAATTGATGGAAGATTCGATAGAATACTCTAATACTAAAATATTTGATAGCTGCAGCCTTAGACGTAACTACTGTTTACCATCAGTGAGTGTGAGGTTGCCGTGATTCCTGCGAGATAATGCTGCAGCGCCGACAATTTTAATTTGACAACGGCCGGTGAAAAGCTCCAGAGTTGTTTAAAATGGTTGCAGTAACCACATTTTACCACAGGATGTCATTTTTACTTCATTTCCACATAATGCACCTTTAATCTTTCTACTATTCAAGGTTTTATTTACACCAGTTATTTTGAGGCAAAACAATACATTTTAGGTTATTATTATACTACGTGGACAGTATTACGGTTTGAAGTATTTTTAAAATTAAACAGTAGAATAAATTGTCGTGAATGAAGTTTTTTTCATTTGGTGAGTTGATTCTGTGTTTATTTTAAATGTAAATCAGTTTTGACCGTTTGAACATCCTTATGTTATATGATGATTTTTGGTTTATTTTCACTAAGAGTAAATTATGACTTCCTTATTTTTTATACAACTAAACATACAAACACCGTTCAACAGAGACAGGAGGGAATCAATGGTTCAGGGTTTGAAATCCTTGAAAATGTTTGAATTTCAATGTGGTATTTTCAAGGTTTTGAAAGTGTATACGTTTTTTAATGAAATTGCTTACAGCAAAATAGCATTTACTTATGAGACAAAGAGGCAGCAGTGAAAATATCATGAGCACATTTGTACTGTTCATGTATTTGTAAGAATCTTTGGACTATCTGGAACGCTCACTTTGAATGTGCTTTAAAAGTGCTTGAGTTAGATTTTTGGCAAACATGTTAGAACATTGGCTCTTGATTTTTTAAATTTGTTTTTTCATTATTCTTTTTGTAAAAACAGGCAGCTTTTCTTGTAAGCCTTATGCAGGTTTGGGGAGCACAAGCTAAACAGAGATATAAGAATCTGAGATTTGTCAACAGCTGTTCTTTCAATAAGCTCATGCTGTGATGCTTTCTGTTTCAGAAATATTGAGGAAATCCTTGCGGCCAAAGGAGAGACAGTGAAGAGGTTGGGAGAGAGCTATGCTGTGGAGGTTGTGGTGGATGAATCCAGCACGGACCAGAAGCAGCAAGCTGATGACACTGAAAAGAAAAACAATGACCCAGGAAACCAATAATGATTTGTTTTTACTGTACTTTGTAAGATGTTAATATTTTAATAATAAAAAATAAAAATTTCCTTTGGTTTGGTTTATTGAGCATTCAGGTAGTAAAGTAAAACCGTCCAACCAGGAGAAGACTTAAAGGAAGACCCAGGACACGCTGGAGGGGACTATGTCTCTCGGTTGGCCAGGAAACGCCTTGGGATTTCCCAGAAGAGTTGGCCCAAGTGGCAGGGGAGAGGAAAGTCTGGGCATCTCTGCTTAGGCTGCTGCGACCCGACTCTAGATAAGCGGAATGATGGATTACAATGTTTGTAATTTGTAAGTTATTCACAATCAAGTGAAAAACCTTAGTCAGATGTTAGTAGTTCAACTGAACCCCTAAAAGGTTAGGGACTCGGTAGTTTTTAGACCCTACAGGGCCACCATACCTTTCTTTAAATGTTTTGCAATACGCAATACCAGAACTGAATAGCTGGTAATTTATGTTTATGTTTATTCATTTCGCAGACGCTTTTATCCAAAGCGACGTACAAGGTTTTTTTTATTTTATTTTTTTATAACCTGTAGGGCATGTGATGTGTGGGGGAAACCGGAGTACCCGGAGGAAACCCACGCATGCATGGGGAGAACACGCAACTCCACGCAGAAAGGCGAGTTTTGAACCTGCGACCTTCGTGCTGCGAGGCAACAGTGCTAACCACTGCGCCACCATGCAGCCAATTTATCTAACATTGAACTAAGTTCAACTTCAAATTATGCCTAAGTAAAATGTGTCAATAAAGTTATTGTTTGTTCTTCTTTGTTCTCGCGAGAACAACACGCTGTTGCTGCAATACTCGTTAGCCGTGGTAGCACCCCGTTTAGCTAGTCAGGTTTCTGTGGTCTTTAACATCATTTCTGACCACCATGAGTGCGGCTAGGGTCACCGATGAGTTCGAAAAATCAAGACATCGCCCGTTTTTGATCGGGGTTAGCGGAGGGACGGCCAGCGGAAAGGTTTTTCATTTCAAACTTATTACGAACGTAGATCAATTAGCTTAGCATTGTGTGGCTGTTTACATCGCCAACAAAAACTTAATGCAGCTATTATTCCTGGGTGGGATTTTTATTATGCTCTTTAATACACACGATGCTGATGTAATCACCTAGAATATATACGTCTGTACATGCTTTACAAGTCAAATAAATATGTAGTTAACTTTTTAAAATAAATAATTTTTAGTGTTTTCCTTTGATTGCATCTTTACAACTTTATATATTACATTATATGATTACTCCTCTAACTAAAATGTATTGGTTTATTGTTTCTCGTTCAGTTGTTCCACGTTACTTTTAAATCGTGACAACATTATTATTTGTCAGTCAACAGTTTGTGCCAAGATCATGGAGCTTCTTGGCCAAAATAAAGTGGACCACCGCCAGAGGAAGGTGGCCATCATCAGCCAGGACAGCTTCTACAAAGTGCTGACCCCAGATCAGAAGGCCAAAGCGCTAAAAGGCCAGTACAACTTTGATCACCCAGGTAAAACCAGGTGACAGTTTCCTTCACCCAGACAGCCATGTACAGCTTCTGTGTTTTTAAAATGCAGGATTAACAGAAGATGAAAATGGGAAGAGAAAAAAGAAAAAAAAACTAAATAAATACAGAGTTGCTGATTAATACAGATGTAAATACCTTGTACATGGAATTGGTTATTTAAAATTTGACTGGTTTGTGATTGGATTTTCTTACCCTGAAGTGTTTCTGTTGAATATTTTGACCTGAATTATTGTGGGATGCTTCTGAGAGCCCCACCATGGCCATGATGGAACACTGTTAAGTTCTGCATGATCTTAACTCAGCGATCTGCAACAGTTGATAAAAAAAAGAAATCTTTTTTGCTAGATTTCTAAAAATCCAAGATTTACTTAGTGAAAAATCTCTTTTTTTGTTTCTATTATTAGGTAGTAAGTTCAGGAGAACAAACTTGGAGAGAGGGCATATATATATATATATATATATATATATATATATATATATATATAGATGGATAGATGTGTATATTCAAGTGGGTATATATGTATATGAGTAAATATATATGTATTATATATATATTCCAATGCATTCAATGCAAACACAGAAAAGCTACTAATTTAGGTTATATTTATATTTTAAAACATTAGTTTTTCACCATTTTAAGCCAACTTTGTGGCTCCAAAGCCACAAGTTGCAGCCCCCTCTCCCAACCTCTCACTTCACCGTGGAGGCGTAGCTTACCCATATCTCCTTAAGTCACAGTTTAGCTAATTTGCTTGTTTATCTTTTGAAATCCAGCAATTCTAATCAAGATTTGCTGTTGAGCTGAAGTTTGATGTCCTCGTGTATGATCTAGCGCAGCTGTGCGGGAGACGTCCTTATTGTCTTTTGTGTTTGTTTTGTCGTTTCTAAAGTCTGAACTTGCTGTGATCTAGTACATTTTCCATTTTAGTATGCTCCAAATAGTTTAGAGGTTTTATTTTGTTAGAGTTAAAAAGGTGAAAAAGGCAACTGGACTTGTTACTTAAAGATGTCTGACCTTCTAAAAGGCTTCTTCAGTTCTGATTATGGGTTTGGAATGAAGAAGATGGAAAGTCTTCAAGCATCAAAACAAGTCCAGTTCTCTGTTTTTAACTCTTAGGACTGCCATGTGTGAGGACTTTTATTATGTTCTGGATAAATGAAACCTATGATGCATCCTGCTGGCATCACGTCGTTTAATCTTATTGTGTACACACAGAATGCATCTACTGAGTTATTTATGAACATCTATTTCTCCTTTATGTCTTGCAGAGGCATTTGATAACGAATTAATGTACAAAACCTTGAAGGACGTAGCAGAAGGGAATGTGGTTGAAGTACCAACTTACGATTTTGTCACCCACTCCAGGTAGGGAACCCAAAATCTAGAGATTAGATCTAGCTTTCTGTGTGTTCTGAGAGCTCTTTGTGTGCTCCTAGGTTGGAGGACACGATCACGTTTTACCCAGCAGACGTGGTCCTTTTCGAGGGCATCCTTGTTTTCTACCCACAGAAAGTGCGAGAGATGTTTCACATGAAACTGTTTGTGGACACCGATTCAGACGTCAGACTTTCTCGCAGAGGTTCTCAAGTCTCCAAAATAATAAACAAATAAAATTCATATTTTGTTTCATTTGTGCAAAACTTTACAAACTAAACTTTCACCTAACTTCTTTACAGTCCTGCGAGATATGAGCAGAGGGAGAGACTTGGATCAGATCCTTAATCAGTACACGACCTTCGTAAAGCCTGCTTTTGAGGAGTTTTGTTTGCCTGTGAGCATGGCGGCCATTACTGAGGATGCATTTCTTTATTCCCGTAACTTTTCTCCATCTCTAAACATTTTTCTACTTTTAGACGAAGAAGTATGCAGATGTCATCATTCCAAGGGGAGTTGATAATATGGGTGAGTAATCTTAAAAGGAGAAAAAAAAATCCCAATAATGATAAATGACCCACTTGTATAATGCATTTCAGAGTCAGAGGACTCCAAAGCGCTTTACACTACAGTGTCATCCTTTCACACACTGATAATTTGAGGTTCTGTAATGTTTCAAGTAAATTCTTCATCTCGTCTCTCACCAGTGGCCATCAACCTCATCGTGCAGCACATCCAAGATATTCTGAATGGTGACATTTGCAAATGGCAGCGTGGCTCTACGAATGGGCGGGGCTTCAAACGGGGGTCGGCTGAGCCGAGCGACCTGCAGAACGGAGCCACCAACCCTCCCTTAAAGAGGGTCCTGCTGGAGCCCAGTAGCCGGCCTCACTGAGACAGTCTGGATGTGTGTGTGTGTGTGTGTGTGTGTGTGTGTGTGTGTGTGTGTGTGTGTGTGTGTGTGTGTGTGTGTGTGGATGTAAAATCTGATTCGCTGCTGTTGTGTGTTGGATAGATCAGAAATGTCATCAATCTCAGTAGTTTTAAAACGACCTCTTATTTTATTACTATTGATGTAACCAGTATTTTAATAGGTTTCTTTTTAAACAAGTCTTCCGTTTTACTTTATAAAAATAATATAATACTTTTGTCAATAGGATTTAACATTTAATACTTTTGCACTTTCTAGTGACAGAACAAAATCACCTGTGCTTCTATGTAAACAATCTATGTAACTGATATTATTTAATGTGTTTTCCTGTCACATTTTGTACTAATTTATTAAATTAGGTCCTTATGGATGTTTGAGGCAATAAGTTAGATTGATACAGAGTCTGTGCCTTAAAGGTAGCCTGGCCTGCCAGACTCGTCCTCTGTTTAATTCTACAGAGAGTCTGGTAACTCACAGGCAGAGAGGCACGAGGGGCGGGACTAGACGGCTCAAAAATAACCAATCAGAAAAAAGACGGAAATGCAGACTACAGCGTGACGCTGTAGTGTTTTAGCTGTAGTCAAAAATGGTGTTTGGTGACAGCGCAAACATCTTTCTTTAGGAGAATGGCTTTTAGCGCTTCTACTTGTTTTAAAGACATTCAAGTCATTTAGAACAGGAAAGAGCTGCAGCGAACTCCGCTGCAGTCGCCATGTTTATGACAAACTCGGCGTTGTAGTGTGACGTACGCTACTCAGCGCTGATTGGCTAGAATTCTCAAGGGGTGGGGTTATTTGAATAGGAGAGTTCCCAGACTTTCTGGGTGCTAAATTAAAGAGGAGTCTGGCTGGCCAGGCTACGTTAGAAGTGCATGAAGTAAGAATGACATTCGGTGGTCTAATTTAGGTACTGCAGTCTTGTGTTTCAAACAAGTTCACTCTGATCCATTGCCCGCGAAAGTAGGAGTAAAGGCATGGGTGGAGACGTATTTCATCCACACTTCCCGTTAGGAAAATGCTTTTGAAAGAGGCGTCACCTGGCGGACAGAGCAGCACTGAGACGAGACAGTGATAGACGGCACCCCCGTCAACCCCCCCCCACCCCCACCCCCCGCGTGCGCTGTCGGAGTTTCTCGGTCTAAAAACGATTTAACGAGCGTGTGCACGCAAGCACACACAGTAGACTAACCGCTCAGGAGAAAAAGACACAGATCTGCAGCATTCTGGAGGATTTCCTGTTAACTGCGATCATTAGATGAAAAGGAGAGGAGGGCATTTTTGTTTTTCAAGGAGGCGAGCGGCTCAGCACCAACATACCAGCAGGTGAGTGGCTGAGCCAGGTGGAGGTGCAGCTGCCTCTAGCCTTCTTGATCCAAAATTAGAGTAAAAAAAAAACATGCCATGGTTCCTTAGAGGTGCAAGAAATAACTTCTGGGCAACTCTGACTGTTTTTTTTCTGTCCACAATGCTGCTGTTTTTGCTGGCTGGTGTCAAATTACAAATGCCGGCGCAGACTTTCCAACCTCATGGTCTCGAGTCGTAAAAAAACGGAAAAAAAGAAACGTCCCTCCTCAGCTCGACAACCAGCCAGAGAAGGAAATCTGTTTTACTGTAACCTTCCAGCGTGATTTACTGATTATTTCACTGTAAAAATTCTTACTTATTGCACCTTTAACTTATTTTAAACATATCGCTCATCGTGCATGTACAACGTCAAACTGAAATTCTGAATGGAATAACTAGCTGGAGAAATGAAGGTTCTGCAAACAAGGTACTTTAAAAAAAAACAAGCCATTTGTTTTATTGGGCGCTTGAGAGCACAGTGTGATGTGTTGAACATTATCCCCAAAAAGGGAATTGGATGAATAACTACAGCACATGTTGGAATGACAAACACACAAGCCCCCCCCCCCCCCCCCCACACACACACACACACACACACACTGTCGTGGTTTGGGATGATGATTGTGATTGCCTGACGTTTTCTCTACACATGGACACCTCACTCAATTCAGAATGACATACGTAGATCACAGCATCTTTAGTAATTCCTCTTTTTGTGTGTTTGCGTTGCCTTTTTTTAGTGCACATACATATGGCACTTGGGAGAAGCTAAGCTCTTCTCATAAGCATAAATGTCCTTTTTAAGAACAAAAGGAGCACTGTATATAATACATGTCATAACCATACATGATTCTTACACAAACACGTTTCAAAACAAACTCATAAATTCCAGTCCGTGGTGTTCATCGTCCTCTCATCAAGTTGGGGTTTCCCCTTCGATGCTTGCAGCAGATTCTGCAGCACGTCTCAATTTGCGGCAGGTCACTGCTGATTGAGGGGAACTCGTAAGTCCAGGAGAAGGTTGAAGATGACCAGCAAAATGGCACATACATAAGGGGGAAAAGGGAATTGGGAGGAAAAGTAATAGACTGTTCAGCTTATTGTCACACACATGTACACGCACACAGCTCCACTCTAACAGAGAGTTCAGAGAGCAGACTTTGGTCATTTCCGTAGTGTCTCCCTGTCCGCTCTGATTCCTCTCCTCATCAGCACCGGGTTGTCTTCCCTGGTTTCATGCAGTCTTCTTAATCTCTCCCTGTCTCCGTGATGGAGCAACATTAATCCCAGTTAGAATCTCCCAGAGTGGTAGGGCTCTTTGTAAACCTCAGTGACGCTTCAGTCGTTTGTTCAGAGTTCCCCACAACCAGTCCCCTGTTTGCTTCAGTGGATAGCTTCTATTAGTCTTTCTCTCAAGTTTGTAGTGAAGTAGAGTTAGTGTCATGAAGCACAGTTGGAGGTCAGAGTCTGAGGCCCGCGCGGGCTCCTAGGTCTTCTCCTCACGGTCTGTCTTGCGCCTGGTGATGTTCCGAGGCTTAATTTTGAGCGAGAGCTCCCACAGGGCCTCTTCGGCTAGGTGGTCGCTGAAGTCGTTGAAGAAGGAGATTATGTCTTCGTTGCGTTTCAGCTCATAATGCCTGAAAAATGACGAAAACAAAGAAAAAATAGCTTGAAGAATGGAGAAGAGACAAAACTGATGTTTCTTTTACATTGAAAGTTTATAAAGTAGATTGTTTTTGCAAAGTTTGGCACAAGTTCCACTAAAGTTTTTCTGAAGGTCTTACACTTGCTGAAAGCGCCGCATACTGTCCAGAATGTTGAACTGCTGCCAGCGTTTGGAGAAATTGACCTTTCCATCAATGAGGTCAGGGTTTCCCAGGTGCACAAAGGTCAGGTCCTGCAGAATGAGACCTCTGCAATGACAGGCAAAATCAATTATTGTCAAGTCATACTTGAGCAGTGGACCTCTAATGGTCCAGACAGATTTACTCACAGGTACGGGATGCATGGAGGCTCCACCTCGGCCAGAGCAGCTCTGTATGCTCTGAAGGATGAAGAGCTGTCAATCAGCGTGCAATACTCCTCCAGTCCCTTAAAAAAATAAAAAAAAAATGTTAGAGAAGGTAACCAGCATGAAAAAAATGACATCTCCGGAGCAAAAAGTCCTCTCACCTCTGAGGTCTGCTTCTGCCACTCCAATCTCCGGATGGGGGCCGAGTCCAGGGCGGACAGTATTGCCAAATAGGAGTTAAAATTATTCAACTTTCTTAAGTGCTGCAATAAAGTAAAGAAATCTGTTAAATGCAATAAAAATGACATAAGTGATTCCTAAAAAAATGAAGCTACCTTCATTATCTTAATGAACTTGAGAAGCAGCTTCTCTCGGTCTTGGGCTTTTTCCTGCTGAATGATCAAAGATCGGACCCTGTTGGAGAGAGAAACAGCAGTAAGGCATCAGCGTTTCTGAAGTTCCAGTAATAAAAAAAAGGATGATGAGTCAAGCGTTTAATCATGACTTTTGCTCTAACCAATAGCTCATGTTATTAAAGTGCTCTGTAAACTGAGTCAGGTTCGGACTCTTCTCCTCATTCTGCTCCTTCGCCCAAAGCAGAACCTCTGGAATCTAAACGAGAGAAGAGTTGAGGGAAACTTTAGCTTCAGCAGAGCTCGGTGTTAAAATAATCAGCTGGCAAGAGGGGGAAACAGTACCTCAATTTTGTAGAACAGCTCAGCATCAAGAAGAGTGAGCTGATCAGCGATCTCATGACTGCGGAAGTCATGAAGAGTTCCAGGTCTGTTAAAACACAAACATTCAACTTCAGGTATTCTCTCTGGATTTGATATGGAACAAAATATGATTTCAGTTTGATTAGGAAAGTACTTATAATGTTCATTGTGTATTTTTTAGATATTTTAAAATCCATCTAACATTCCACAGCAATGGCAATAATGGAATTAACGGATAAAATATAAACAGCAATTGGCAATAAAAATGACTGTTAGTGTTTTCATTGATATGAAAAAAAAAGCATTTGACGTCATTGATCACTCAAGGTTACTTCGAAAATTAAATCAATATGGAATAAGAGGTTTGGCTCATCAATGGGTAAAAACTTATTTAGAAAAAAGGAAACAGTTTGTTCAGATAAAGGATCATAAATCAAAACTATGTGAAAATAATTGTGGAGTGCCACAAGGGTCGGTCCTCGGACCAAACTGTTCATTTTGTTTATTAACGACTTGGTAAATGTATCTAAGACAATCGGTACCATTCTATTTGCAGATGATACAACACTGTTTTACTCGGGGAGCAGTGCGATCATGATCATTGATTTAATTTACATTTTCGAGATCAAATATTGAGGAGGTGGCTAAAGTGATAAATGATGAACTGATTAAAATTAAAAACTGGTTTGAAATAAATTGATTGACACTGAATCTTAATAAAACAAATTTTATACTGTTTAATAATAAAAAGAACAGCGATGTATTATTGGAAATAGGTGAGATTGAAATTCAAAGAGTAAAAGAAACTAAATTTCTTGGAGTTCTTATTGATGAAGACTTGACATGGAAATCCCATATTAGTTACATAAAAGGTAAAATTGCCAAATCCATAGGAGTATTACATAGAGTCAAGTTTTTACTGACTAATTCTGGTTTGTTGGCATTGTACAATTCACTGATTTCTCCACACTTGACTTATTGTGTAGAAATCTGGGGAGCACATACAAAAACTATACACAACCCTTATTTATTTTACAGAAAAGAGCTCCGAGAATCATCAATTATAGTGGCTGTAGAGATCCATCGAACCCATTGTTTATTAAATATAAATTACTGAAATTTCATGATTTAAAAGACTGGAAAATCTTACAAACCATGTATAAAGCCAATTTAGGTACTCTGCCAACAAACATTCAGGGGATATTTGAAAAGAGAACTAGTAATTGCATGCTGAAAGAAACTGGTGTGTTTACAAAACCAAGACTTAGAACTAAAATTAAGGAATGGAATATATCTGTAAATGGTGTTAAATTATGGAATAACCTTAAAAGGGAAATTTAAAAAAACCCTGTCATTTAATATATTCAATGTACCAAATTGAGTGTACTAAGTAATTATGAAAATGTAAATTAAATTAATGATCATGATCGCACTGGACTTTAGAACAGGAAAAAGATTAAAATGAATCTGTACGTGTGTCTGACAAATGGAAATTGTATATAAATTTATAATTTCTTCTGGAAAAGGGGCAGAAATGTTTTTCTTCATTCTGCTCATTTTCGTTCAAATTAGATTTTTTGTTATGTACTTCTTATTGTTTATATGTTTTATTTTGAATGAAAAAAGAAAGAAAAAAATCCATCTAAGTGATGTAAACCATTATTTGTCCACCAGATGGCCCTAAATGGATGCTTCTCACTTAAATCCTACCAGATTGATTTTTTTACATATATTTTTACATGATATTCTTATGTCTATTCTTGTGTCAGTGTAGGTGAAACCTCCTCAACCTGGGCGGGCCTCAAGTGGGGTGTGCCACAGGGGTCTGTACTGGGTCCGCTTCTTTTTGCCATCTACTTACTACCGTTGGGGAATCTTCTTCGGCGGTTCGGCATGCGTTTTCATTTTTATGCTGATGACTGTCAGATCTACCTCCCCCTTCAGCGGGGGGTCGATGGGTCAATATCAAAGCTTGTAGATGCCTTAGAGGATGTGCGCTCCTGGATGGCTACAAACTTTTTACATCTGAATGACGCTAAGACTGAAGTAATTGTACTTAGCCCTGGCATGTCTACATGCCCATGCGATGCGGTGAATCTGGGCCCTTTAGCATCCAACATGAAGACCACCATCCGAAATTTGGGAGTGCAACTGGACTCAGCCCTTAAATTCGACACGCAAATCAACCAGGTTGTGCGATCGTGGTTTTTTTACTTACGCCGCCTAGCCAGAATTAAGCCCCTGCTGTCCAGAGTACATTTAGAGACTGTCACACATGCTTTTGTTCTTTCAAGGCTCGACTACTGCAATGCACTGTATGCCGGCCTTAGTCAGGGTGCGGTAGCACGCTTGCAGTTAGTACAAAACTCAGTCGCTAGGTTTGTGACAGGCACTAGGCAAAGGGAACATATCACCCCTGTGTTGGCATCCCTTCATTGGCTGCCTGTACAATACAGGGCAAAATTCAAGGTCTTGGTACTGGCTTACAAGGCCTTACACGGAACTGCTCCAGCATACCTTGGCAAACTTTTGCATAGGCATGCCCCCTCGCGGGCCCTTCGCTCAGCCGACAGGGAGCTGTTGATCGTTCCACGCACTAAGTGCAGGTCACGGGGGGACCGTGCGTTCTCTGTGCTGGCACCTGCACTTTGGAACCAGTTGCCTTTGGTGGTGCATCAGTCACCCTCACTGGGGTTTTTAAGACTCGCCTTAAGACCCATTTTTTGTCAAGGCTTTTCAGGATTGGCAAATTTTACCCAGTTTCGATGCCCCGGCCTCTTAATCTTTTTCTGGATTTTATTTTTTGCTTTTACTCTCCTCTTTTAATTGATTTTATGCTGGTTTTACAATTGTTATATTTTATTCTGATGGTTTTATGTTTTTATTGTGTTGTGTTCAGCACCTTGGGCGTCTGCGTTGGTCACAGAAGGGGCTTTATAAATAAATGAAATGAAATGAATTAACTCCAACAGTTTCCACTATGTAAAGATGCTCCTACACTATGCCTTATTTTTCCGGTTCTGTGTTTGTTCTGCAAAGACAGGCCCTCATTGGGACCCGTACAGTACCTTGCAGAGACTCCCCGGGCAGCAAGGGGCTTAAGGGAGTTGGTGTAACGCAGCAACTTCTTCTGCTCCACCTTGTCAAGGATGTTCTTGCGGAGCACACGAGCGAGGCTGAGCTCGCCACTGCACACCAGTGTGAACACCAGGTCCATGAGCTGTTTCAAGATGTCCTCCGTCAACTCCACCAGACTGCAGGAAACAGGAGGAAAATGAAAAATGAAGAATCTTCTCATTTTGTGAAGTTAAAAAGAGAAAAGCCAGGTTGGAAACATTATGGGAGACTAGTGCGTGTAGTCACGCGGGAGTGGATTTTATATTCTGGAGACATTTTAGAGAAAACTAAATCCTATTGCATCACACGATTTGAAATAAGACAAACATATCTACATTACTTTAAAACAGGTGTAATTTTAGGCCAAGTAAGACAAGTTCATGGAAAGTTTAGAAATTTTAGACAGCTCAACAGTTACAGTATACAAGATGATCCCACTAAGTTGATCAAACTTATGAAATCCTTAAAGTTTATTAAAGGAGACATTTTTCCTCTAGTTCTATAGTCAATACAAAACATGTTTATGAAGTTCTTTGCAATAAATCCCTCTCAAAGTTATTTCAGGAATTTGATTCGTGACATTTTCAGTACCTTCCAGAATGAGCCGTTTCAGGGCTCTGTCACTTTAAGAAAAAAAGTTGTTGACGGCCACGCTGCTATAAGCTGAGAAGCTCTAAAATCTTGGAGGGGCTCAGAGGTGAGAGGTGGTTCTATACTATTTTCCCTGTTGTGACATCACAAATGGGGACTTTTTGAAACTTCTCATTTTAAGAATGTAGAGTTTAAATAAAACACAGATAGAAAACAAACGGACAGGTTTTTCATGTTTTAATTGTTCATAGAGGCAGTAACCCTGAAAATTTGCCCACCCTCCACTAAGAAATAATATTCACGGTCACACAAAAAAAAACATTTATCTTCTTTAATTGAGATACAAATGTAAAAGTCAATAAATAAATTGATAATAATGGAGCTAATAATAATTTAAATAAATGTTATTTATTATCTTATTGACAAAAAAAAAAGATAAATATTATTAGTTTTTGAAGAAGATATTGGTACGACCACAACAGGCAAAATAAACTGCTTTAAAATGCAAAAACAATAAAATTTGGAACAATAATTGAAATATAGTCTTTTCTAAAAAGTTTCTCAAATTTGACATATATACAGTGTGTTGGACGCCTATTGTTTTTGTGTGGAAAAGAATAAAGAAACACACAATGCATCGCCACATGCTAAATACTCAGTGTTATCACAAGGACCAAACTGGCGCAACACCCCAAAATTTTCCAGTGGCCCCCTATGAAAATTTTCTGGGGGCGCCACTGCGAGCAAGACCAAACAAGTGAGTCGTACTCACCAGAGCTCATCCACGACACGAACCAGAACAAAGAACGTGTTCTTGCTGACTCGCTTCTTGTTGGTGTCCGGACTGTGACAGAAGGTGGTGTACGTGCTTTTGTGGTCAAGGATGATCATCAGATTTAGTGGTCTGTTCATTATTTCATAACAAAAACTAGTGTAACTGCAGGATTCTGGTTTCTCCCCCAGCTGCCTCCCTTCATGCAAACCATGGCTGCATGGTGGCGCAGTGGTTAGCACTGTTGCCTCGCAGCACGAAGGTTGCAGGTTCGAAACTCTGCTTGGCTGTGGCCTTTCTGCGTGGAGTTGCGTGTTCTCCCCATGCATGCGTGGGTTTCCTCCGGGTACTCCGGTTTCCCCCACAGATCACAACAATTTATAACCCTATAGGTTATAAATTGTAAGTCGCTTTGGATAAAAGCGTCTGCTAAATGAATAAACATAATCATAAAACATAAACGACATCCATCATTGCACAGCAGCCATCATCACTAGTTACTGACGTTTTAGAAAAACTCTGCTATTTAGAAATTATTCTGCTCATGGTGGTTTCAAGTAGCTGATGAACTGTTCAGACTTTAAAATTTGACAAAGTAATAAAAACAAAAACAAAATCAAGAATAATTCAACTATGCTCTTTCTCTGCTCTGCATAATTAGAAAATGTATTTCATTAACAGAAAAATCCAACAGTCAACTGTATATAAAATAAAAAAATAAATAAAACTGAAACAAAACATTTTCATCTTCGACTGATGATCGTTGAAGGATCCAGATAAGAACAAAGAACGTCTTGGTGAATAAGGACTGATGCTGGGAAAACGTCCATCTGCTGAGTGACTTTAAAAGGATATCTGTAGTGCAGCTTCTTAATGAGGTCCTCTGGGGTTATAAAAGTCCTATATGTAGTCAGAAAGGCTTCACAGTACAAAACGAGATCTGTCGGGTCAAGACAGAGAAAAGAGCAGCAGCTTTCAGTCGAGCGGATTAAAGCCGACAACACATGGTCGTATAAGAAGACTGACACGCTGCAAACAACAGACAGACTGAGGCTATGTCAAATTTTACTAAAACCCCCCAAATAATTCTTAGAACAGTCAACTATGGAAAGCAGATGTTCCAGTGACACAAAGGCACAGTAACACATTCATGTTTTTAACGTCGTACCTTTGCGGTCTGTTTCTGTAGCGTGGACTAATAGGATGTCTCCCGACCCGGCACGAACATCAGGACCATCGTCATTCTGGGAAAAATCACACAAATGAATGAGGGGATGAGGAAATCCAGCACATGAAAAACATATCAACGAGAAGCCAAACAGGTTGCGTGCACGTCTCCTCTCCACCAACTCTCACTGTCCTGCACCAGATCCTCAGATGACGAAGGAAAAGTCAGACTTGTGCAGAACATAAAAAAGGGGAAAAAAAGCACCTCCACTGCATTCTGTTTTCTATATCACCTCTTAAAGCTAACCAGACATCTTTTTTCCTAGAACTCCTGACCTCCCCCTGTATCCTTTAGTAAATCACCACCGTCACATTGCCACTAACCTTGCAGAGGGGCGTGCAGCATTTTCACACATCTGTATACTAGACTGCACCACAGGGAAAAAAGGGGAGGAGGCTGCACTGAAGTAGGAGGACGTTTATTAGTTCTGCAGTTCCAGAGATTTACCTCCAGAGGGCAGCACTGACTGTCTGTGTTCAATCCAGGCTCTGATTTCACATATGAGTGACTGACAGTGACCTTTACCCTGAATTAGACAGAAATGGGCTTTGGATGCTGGTTTTTAAATAAAGCATAGATTGACTTACTTCCTGCTTTAGTGTTATCCTGCTCATAATCTCCTTGTGGTCTATGAGGGAAAGCTCGTCCACGTTTTCCTCATCACTCCGGGTGACTTCTGTTGGCTTCTGCCTCCTGAAACATGTGTGATCCACCCCCATTAACACGGACACGCTCACATCCATCGGAGTCATCAATAACTGATTAATAACATCCAATTTTATTTCTATAGCACATTTTAAAACAACACGGCAGCTGAGGCAACTCACTTTGAACTTAAACTGTCGCACAGGAAAAAGAAATTCAAGGATTTTAAGCATCAAGTTAATAAAAAAAAAAGAAACGGATGCAATGAACACACATGATCGGGAGCTGAATATCCTCCCCTGCCCATCTAGGAAAAAGGGTCAACCCCACCCTGTTTTCTGCTAAACAAATAATCCAGTGCCCTTTTTTTGGCATGCCAAGCCTGTAGGTGGCAGTAGTTCCCCAAGAAATGAGCATCTTTGAAAAACATTATTTGAATATAGAATAACTGGGTTGTGGGTAGGGCTGGGCAACATGGCCTAAAATCAATATCACAATATAGTGAAGATTTCCCCTTGATAACAAGAAATGGACGATAACTACAGGTATGCTCTGAATCAACAGTTGTCCACTAGATGGGAATGTCACATGTATTACACTGAGTGACATTTTTACATGACTCGAGGTGGTACAGCTTCTTAAGGGGACATGAACGTTGCCAACCTACACACATCTTTACATTTTTTTATTATCACATTTATTGACATGGGAAAAATTATCCCGATAAGAGTGAGAAATTTCGATAACGACAGATTTTCGATTGATTGCCCAGCCCTAGTGGTGGGCAATAACTGTTCCTTAATGCTGTCCTACATAGAGCAGTAATCGAGTTTGCAAAAGCAAGACCACTAGAGACCACTGCATGTCTATTGATTAAACGAGTGTTCCCACCACAGCAGCCCCAGCTCTGATGGGTATCTGGTCTGGTCCTTTGTTTTTGGGGATCGTTTTCCTTTTTTATGACACTTAAGCTTTAGCTGTCAGACTGATGTACTCACATTTGAGTTCATGGTCGACTCACTGACTGTGTGATGAACATCCGCCACGCCGACAGCTGGTATGAGGTGTCTGTATTTCACTAGGATTTCATCCGAATCTAAAGGACATTGGTCCAGAAGTCTCGTCTTCAATTCAGATGTAACTTTCCAAATATAAGATGTGCTGAGTTATGTTTTAGCAGATGTCTTCTCCTGTAGTCTTTTTAAACACTTCCTATTTTTAATTGTCCTGTTGTGAACTTTAACCTTTAATCTACTAAGTCAGACCTGTAGAGTTTGACATGAAGTTTGCATTTTTCCAAATTCTGAGCACCGCACGATCGGATCTTAGGGTGGATTTTCCAGAATTCACACTCCTGGGGAAAATTGGCAGCTGTTTTAAATATTTTCCACTTACAAATAATATTTTTCACAGTAGCGGTTATTTCCAAACTGTTTGGAAAAAACCATGAACCCTTCTCAGATTGATGGGGAACAACTAATGCTGATGCCGTTCCTCTTTGGCACTGGGTTAACTCGCACATGTATGCTCCAGACCAGCAAACTGCCTGACCTCCAGCTATTATTGAGGTGTTCACAGATGATGATCAGTTAATCATCACATTTGACCAGCAGCACCTGGCTGATGCCTTCCCTCCTGAATCCTATGGAAGCAGCAAAGGTAAACTTCGTATTTCCACAAAAATCTTTTTCACTCCGGCTTAATTTTTCTTTAATGGATAATAAAAAGGAAGGAATCTGCGGTGTGTGAACACATTAGGCACCTGGTAAAAGATCTAATCATGTTTACTGCACCCTGACACACAAAGAGTTGAATTTTTCAATTATAGTTGCATTTGATCAAAAGAAAACTGACGGAGGTGTATTTAATATCCATGAACTCTTTAAGCTTACCTTTCTTTGTCCAAAGCATCTTTACTATTGCTGGATGGCATCTGAGGGGCGGGGTCTTGAAGTACATCATCTGCTGCAATAGTTTCCTAATCAGTGGAAGGGAAAAAACAATCAGCCAGGTAGGTAACACAGAACATCCCCGTGAATGTTTTCATGCAAACGACTATGGATGAGATCTTATGAACTACCAGGATCTCATGCAACATGTTGGAAGAGAAAAAGGACGAAAGCTTTGTATAACTTATAACTTCCCCATTAGTGCTGATACGGTGTAGGCTTGACTGGCTGATGACAAAATGATGCTTGTATTTAGTGTGAGCAAAATAAAAAAGAAACCCAAACAGACCCAAAACAGACCATTAGAAGGTAGAACAAACCTGAACTGAAACCACTCGATAAAAAATACACCAACAAAATCCTGCATTGTTTCCTTTGCACGATCTCTCCCACTAATACACAAGAAAAGCCCAAAATACACAGAAGCACAAGCCGGCCCACAGAAATGCACCGACACACACATAAGCCATCACACATGCACAGGTGCACATTATCTGTTAAAAGGAATGCTTTTGGAAAACCACAAAATCTGTTGGGGATCTTTTTTAAAAAAATATTTTTAATGGGAAACCAGAGTTAATCAGAACGAGGTTAAATGCTAATAACAGCAGAAGCGCAGCCAGAGAGACAGCAGCCAAAACAACAGACATATGGACATTGTTTTCCACTAACACCACCCGTCGGAGTGCATGATTCCTCCTCACAGGCAAGCCTGTGACCCTGAAATCATGCTCAGTCCGGTTCGACTATGCTCGCATCCCATTTCAGCGCCGTTCGAGGTCAGGCGATGAATCAATAAGAGCTGCCTCTTGCCGGCGCATGTGAGAGTGAAATGTGCCGACAGCAGCATGGGGGCCGTCCACATCGCTCGTCACATTTCAATTGATTCATAACCTGAGGCGACCGGATGTGCAAATGGAACTGACCTTTCACCTTTCACCCGTGACGAGTCAGCTACTTACTCTGAGGGAGAGAGGAAGCTCCCCATTGGCCTGGCTGGATGTGTATAAGTTGACATACTCCCCCTCCCCGCCCTCATCATTCACGCTTTCGCTCTACAAGGAGAAGAGGAGGGACACAAACCGATGCATGAAGCAGCAGCGAGGGGAACACAAGAGTGTTTGCTAAGGGTGTAGCGGGCGTGGAGTGTGTGTGTGTGTGTGTGTGTGTGTGTGTGGCTAAGGAGGAGAGGAGGTGGAAGCTGGTCAAAGTCTGCTTCATCTTTACCACCAGGTGGCACTGGAGGGTACATTAAAGAAATAGCACTTGGCAAGAACATGCAATGCAACATGCTCCACTGGGATTTCTGTTTTCCTTTTGACATTAATAATAAGACAGAAGGCAGATTGTGGGCAGAGATAAAGAAACAAGATGCCAGTCAGTATATTTGTATTTTTCTATGTGCAACACCACAGAAAACCTATGAAGGGATAAGGTCCACCATCACAATTACGTCTTGAAGAACTCCCTCCTACATCAGTACTTTGTGGGCTCACCGCTGAGGTGTGGAGAGAGTCAGTGAGAGAAGACTCAGAAGGAAGACAGACAGCCACAGAACCCATGGAGCCAGCCAGGGAACCGTTGGGCCCGTCCCCGCTGCCATCCAGTATGGTGGCATTGGTCAAGGCAACCTGGTCCAAGCTCTGTGGTTGGTGAGAAAAGAAAAATACAAAAGCAGGAACGAAGAAAAATAAACTAAAGTAAAAGACAGAACTAAGAACAGAGAGAAATCAGAGCAGAAAGGAACCAAACAACAGGAAGCGAAAGAGACTCCACAACACCTCCAATAACCTCGGACTAATGGGAGCGAAATGCCTGAACATGAAGCGCGTTGCACGCATGTAGCAAAATGAAGAAAATACAAAAATGGGAGCGGTGCAAGCGGGAAGATCTCTGGTGAAATCGGATGGAAACCAAAAGACATCAAAGTTTCCAAATGACACAGATTAGCTGGTGTTAAAGAGCAGAGATGTTTTGTGTACAGGTGTGTGGCCGGCTGAAGGGATGCCTGTCAGCAGGGAGGTGGAGTTAACCTGTTCTAACACGTCTCACATACCAGCCCTCTCAGCATACCAGCACACAGCCATGCAGACGCACATTCCTGGTACACACACACACACACGCACACATGCGCACACACGCGCGCGCGCACACACACACACACACACACACACACACACACACACACACACACACGCAGATGTTCACAGACACACAGCTTCTTTATTATAACGTACAATTTTAAATGAAATCAATCATTTTCATCTTTTGGTGAATGTGTTTTTTTCTAAATCTTTCCTGGCATCCTTCAAAAATCGCAATGCCCCAAGGAGCTGAGGAATGCAAACATTCCACAGAAATACACAACTGGGAGGTGTGGAAGTGTGTGCAAATGCACGGGGTGACGGTGGATGAGACGGGACAGAATGTGGACAAAGACGACAGATAGGAGAGAGGAGGTGAAACGGAGAGAATGTGTTTTCCATCAGCTCCATCTGGTGCTGCATTCCACTTGAGATATCCTGAGGGAGGTCCATATCGTGCCTTAACGTGCCTCTCACATGCCATGGGGTCATCAGGGGTCAGCTCTCCCAAAATACTGACGAGGACACTGTTACATAAAGCCACACTGACGTGGGGTGAGGGGTCAGGACCTGACACGCTGACCACAAGCTAATCCGTTCAAAAGAACCAGCTAACAGCTGGAAAATGACTCATTTTGTCTTTTAGGACTACAAATCAAAGACCTGAGTAACCCCAACACAGTTTCTCTGATGCAAACTATAGTACCTGTCATATGGAGGCATGATTTAAGGAGCAAGCATGCAGAGCCGGCATTCACACACAATCACAAATGTAGACAATCACATTTATATTCATCTCTGAGTGAAAACAAATGAACATTATGATGGATCACAGCTGTCAGAAACCAGAAGTGATCAAATCACACGATGCGACGGACCGGTCCACGACGACACAGCAGAGGACGGGAGGGGTGGATGAGACAGAGAGGGGGGGGGACTCACCGTGGGCGTGGTCAAAGACGCCTGTCCACTCAGACAGGAGTTAGAGACGGACATGCTGAGGCCCAGCCCAGAGCCCGCCTCCTCCGTGGCCGCTACAGACGGCTGGAGGTGGCAGGAGAGAGAAGAGGAGGAGGAGGAAGAAGGGGAAGAGGAGTGGGAGGCCTGAGAAGAGTAAACCAGGACAAAATAAAGAGAAATTGGAAAGTTGATCAGGTTTGTGGGGACAGCAAAGAGAGAAAACAAGGTGTTAAAAGAAACAGAAGAGAAGTGGTGACAGCTGATTGCACTAGATAGCACGACTGAGTTAGAGCAGATTAAATCAAGACCAGTGGGGTGGTGGTCAGCACCATTCGGGTAGTCGAGGTGAAAATCATCATTGCAACTGGCTGAAGATGGAGAAACAGCAGAATAGTGGATGAAAAGACTACTTTGTTCCTGTGAAAGTGTGTGTGTGTGTGTGCAGGTAACGCTCCCTGAAACCATCCACAGAACTTCACAAAACCTTTTTAAATCCTTCGCTTTGAGGGTTTTACAGAAAACCAGGCCAACTAAAACACGCTCGAAAACGGAGCCAATATGATCTGCTTTAGGTTTTTTTCACCCGTATTTTTATCCACACAGCGGCTGGAATTACTTTTTTTTGCAAAGCTGTGTAAAGTCGCCAAAGCATGTAAGCTTGTAACATGGGTTTATGCAGGGGGCAAACAGGCTTATTCCACTGGGCCACCAGCTCATCAAGTCCAAAACACGGGGCCGGATTAGGCCTCGCAGCAGCACCGATGACTGACAGTGTGCTCGGACAAAGGAGCGATAAAAATACAAACTTCTCCAAATACAGTGGTCGCAGCACTGGGAGGACAAACAGGAAGTATAATGCAAAGCTGCACCAGGAGGACAAATATCTGTTACCTGTTCATAAACGGGCCAACTTCAACAAGATCGTAAAGCTTTGGGCCACAGATTGGTGTTTCATGTATACGTTTTTCCAGTGACCAAATGAATGACTTTCTCCGTCGTTCCAACGCCATTTCCGTTACTGAAGCAGCGCGGGTGCATAACTACGATTCAGCAGAAAGGTGTGTTGAAGCTAAACGTGCGAATGTTCACAACCAAGCATTTGTAGTTCCTTCAGTTAGATGCAAATTTATTTATTCATAAGTGTGAATGACTTATGTGTTGTAAAGCTCCTTAGGGGGTCGCAGGGCTCTGGAAGGTGCTATATAAATACAGGCCATTTACAATCTATTCAGTTTCATAATAAATAAATGGACATACATTTGAGTCTATTTAGCAATTTATAGCTTAGTAAAATATAGGGACGCGTGATATATCAGGATCGGCCGCTCTTAGTCATTTTTTAACGTATTGGTATCAGTCTGATTAGTAAAACTGGGCCGATGTTAACAACTAATATTTTCTCCATCTTGTTTCCGTTTGTGTTTCAGAGAGTGAAAGGGGTGATGATGTATAATTGTTTATCCAAGTGACAGTGATGGTAAACATCTCAAAAGCAAAAATGTGTATCGTGTGTAAATATAATAAATTAAACATACACACAGACACACACACACACATCTAGTTTGCACTCTATAGAAATTAAGCAAGATATTCAAAAATGCAGCTTGCATCATTTCCAGCGTATACAAAATCTGCTGATTTCACAATCATAGATGTCAGTGTGTATATACATCGGTATCGGCAACTATCGGCTATCGGCCATAACAGCGATATTAACTCATTCACCGCCAGCCGTTTCCTGATCGCTAACGGCCTTCGCTGCCAGCGTTTCTCACTGTTTTTTGAAGAGTCACAGAATGTTGCGCGCTAGCATGATGTCGACGCCAAAACGACCAAAACAAAGAGGAGACTCACCTCTTACATCAGGAAGAATCCGTGTGTTTCGAGCGTTATCCGTTCTTTCATAATCTGTCGTCGAATTGTGATCGGCAGACGCTTTTCCAGTTCGCGCCTCACATTTTTTTTACAGGCACGGCCCAAAACGATCTCCTAACACATGGATGGTCTGCTTCCTGATCATGTGACATGTGACGTATACGGATGAAGATCGGCTTCAGGGCTGAGATGTTTGTTCTCTCAGCGCGGGGGCACATTCCGATGCTCAAACAGTAAAAAAATGCAAATGACGATTGGCAGTGAACGGTTGGATCTAAAATGACGACTTTAGTCGTCAATGGCAGCGAATGAGTTAATATCGAACGTCGGTATCGGTCCAAAAACTCCATATCGGAACATCCCTAGCAAAATAATAGTTTATAGTATATGCAGTAAGTCTTATTAAGAAGGGATCCTAATTTTCTTGCATATTTTCATAAGAAAATCAATAATTACTTTTCCTGGTCATTAAGTTACTTTGGTAATCTTGTAACTCAGTTACTAGTTACTGGTTACAGTTACAAGACTAGTTGCAAAAAAGTAGCTGGGAAAAAAACCATTTGTAATTACTAATATTTAACAAAAATAAGGTGAACAGTCTCAGAAGGTTTGAGTACAACAGGCTACAACTTTGAAGAAAAGTGCTCATCAGTCAAAGTAGAAGTTACTAGCTGAAGCCGGATATCAGGGCATCATATTGAATCCTATAACACGTCTTTACTGGCTATGAAACATCCTATTTTGTCTCTACTGACACTGATTCACTGGCAGACGGTTGTCTCAATTAACCCAGACGCCACCTCAGATTGAGATAAGAGCTCTGCATCTGAAGTTGGGCTGATAAGGGCTTGTCCAATCTCCCGAACACCGCTGTGTACACACAGAAAGTCTGTGTTGGCCACAAAAACGAGGGGGGAGGGCTAAATAGGTGAGAAAGATAACAAGATAGGAGAAAAATTGATGAAGATTACCGCTGGAATGTACTTTAGGTGCAGATTCCTTTCCTACAGCACAATGCAGTTTCCATAAATCTCCCAAATGAAGCTCCATTTGGGTTAGGTTTTACATTCTCAATATTTTAGTCTCAACAAAACCATTTCAAGAATTTTAATTACAGCTTTGCTCATTCGTTAAATGAGTGAATCCAGCTGTTTATCCACAGCAACTGACATTTTACAGTGCAATATGAAAGTAAACATAAATGCACGCACGTGAGGGGGTTCTTACCAGTTGTCTTTGCTTTGGTGGCAACGCTGGGGGTAGCAGGGGCTCATGAACCGAGTCAGTGCTGCTGAAGGAGTCGTTGAAGCCGTAGACCTCCTGGAAAAGTCTGTTACGCTGCTCATAGATGCTTTCGCTCTGCGGCATCTGGTAGAAAACGGAAGGCTGTGGCTCGGAGTAGTCCTCCACAAACTGCATGTACTGAAGAACTGAAGGATGGAAATTAAAATTAAAATCTTAATTATCCAAAACAAGTTCAAATTAAACCATTTCAACTTTTTCCCAGTGATGCAAACATGACTAATACTAATCAGAAGTGACATTTTAATAAAGTTTATTCTGTGATAGGACATCGGGTGAAAGGCACTGATGGACTGTGACTGATGGATGACATAATGCAGTAGCTTGAAAGGAAGTGATGTAAAGGGCGGGTGAGGAAATGACTAAACGCTACCCTGTGTGGCCCTTGAACCAGACCCATTGTGCCACATCCTAGTATTTACTTCCTGTATCCATTCACAACGAATACTTCTTTGACATAGGCAACAAGCTGATGACAAAATGCTGTTTGTGTCCTGCTTTTATTTCCCTCATCAGCCTCATCCCTCATGCTTCGCTCTTCATTTTGTCTCTCCTTGTCCTTTATGTTGCCTCTTTGACCTACACTCATCTCATTTAGAGATTGTCCTCTCTTGGCTTCCCCAGACTCATCTCACCCCCCTCACTTACTGTTTCTGCTTTTCTTTTCTGGCAGCGGCGGCGGGCTGCAGGGGACATCTGTGTTCTCACTTGAAATGAATTGGGACACAAAGACTCCCCCATTTGTCTGGGGCATGGGTGAGATGGGTGTGAACAGGGGGAATGGTGGTGTAGGGTGAAGCTCTTCTTCTGACAGGTTGTCGTAATGGGAGTGGTGGCGCTCGTACAGCACCCTGGAGCCTCCGTCGGAGAAGGACGACGTTGACGTGCTGTACCGTTTCTTCTGCGGCAGGGCGGGGGGCGCGCTGACGCGCGAGGACAGTATGGGATTGGCTTGATTAGACTGAGGAGTCCAGTACTCCGACTGCTGGGGTAGAGGAGCGCTGAAGTGGGGGTGTGAGGGATGCTGTCCAGGAACAGGGGACGAAGACTCGCTGTGAGACTCCGGCAGGGGGCTCAGACAGCCTCCCACCGGAATCGGAGGAAGGTTGTCCCCAACAGACAAGTCCTGGTGGAGGAAGTCGTAATCTGGGTCGTAAGTCTCCGTGTTGTCTGTGAGGGTAAAAATAGAAAATAAATAAATTAATAATTTGTTTACTTCCAAACTCGCCAAGATAAAGTTACTCAGTTTATAGTTTATCAAGAGTGTTTGCGAACAATAAATTTTTGCCTTTTTCACCAACATTTTGTTTTTTGTTTATAATTAACAACAATCCACCATATTTTTATGACCACCTGCTTAAAACAGCCAGGGTCTATGTCTGTCCTGGTGTCTTACTGGGACATTAATAACAGATAGACCCTTTGGATTTTATGTTTTCTCTGCAATCTAAAGAATGAATTAGCTCATTATTTCCAAGAATTCATACTTCCCGGTCGACCATCGTGATGGTAACCGATGATGTCAGTCAGTTGTAATGGTATTTTATTTGGTTATGCCCTAGTGTTTAAGCTTCTCAGTGTCTCGTTGGCCTCACAGCCCTTCATTGCACCTGCAGGTACAAAATAAAGCCTACTTGGAGTTTCAGCAGCTCAGTCACCTCGGGAGCTTCTGTCATCTTTGTTGGTTTCAGGATTTGAAACGGTTTTAAATAATGAAATTTAAAATCACCGCCTATCTCGTGTTTGGTCTTTCCTTTATGATGTGGTCCCACAAACCGTGTAGTAACATAAACGGGGGCTCGTCCAGGATGACTAAAAACCCTAGAATCAGCTAGATGTGTGAAAATCCATGAAATAATTCAGCAATTATTCAGCAATTTTGAAACGTGTGCCCAAGTAAAAAGGTTCCGGTTGCAGATAGCTAATAGTTAATGGTCTATATTTGGCACTTTACAGTTATTTACAAAAATTATGGTTGCGTTAGGAGTTGTAAATATCAGCAACGAAAGTCACATGAAGCTCTTTCAGATAAAAGTGGGAATTTTAGGTTCCTCGTTTGATTTAATTATGACTTGTAAGGTTGTGATGGGTTGAAGATCTTTTCAGAACTACACTTTGGTCTTGGCTGTGCTCAGATTAGTCAATAGTTCTGTAGGACATAAACTCAATTTCTCCAAAATGAAGCCGTTCAGTGAATTTTCTAGATAGTAATTACTTAAAACTTTTACAAAGCATCAAGACACAAAGTTAAGCCCTATAATATTATTACTTTTTCTTTTTTCAGTAATTTTGTTGTCTGATCAGTGCCAGATCAGCCAATATCTAAAACATGAATCATCTCCAACTCCATCGAACAATGACAGCACAAAAACAAAAACCTTCCTAGTGACTTAATTATTTTTGCTTTAATTCTCAAAGCTCGTGTTTTGCTGAGAGCTTAAGCATTGGGAGCCTTCCAAAAAAAAAAAAGAGCAGAAAATAAGTAGGTTATCAGTGTTTCACTAAATCAACATTTCATTATTTATGCTGCTTGTCTTGCTTTTGTAGTCATGGCTACAAGTTGGGTTCACTAATTAGACTATTCTTTTTCAGCTGTTCACTAATGGGAATCTCGGCCCTACAATACGCCACTAAGCTTTAGACTTTTGCACTAATTTCACTTGGAAATAATGATCCAAACAACTTTTTAAATCTCACACTCGGGTCTTCGTATTCTTACCGAGTGTCTCACAGCTGGTGTTACGAGAACACTGACCGCTATCCTGCTCCATGGATGAAAGCTGTTCATCAGACTTGCTGAGTTTCCCCATGCTGCTGCACGGAGACAGACGGGGAGAGTCTCCCCCGTAGGAGTGGCTGCCCCCGGAGAAACGCCTCTGGAAGTATTCATGCTCGTACTCCTGCACAGATAAAAAGCAAAATACATTTTTCTACAGTTAGCATGTTATAAACCTTATGGAAGCCGCTATATTATTAAATGAACCTGATACCTGTCTGTGGTCACTACATGGTAAGCTGGAACCACGGCTCATTGGGGCGACCACAGCCACTGGTGTTGGTGAAGGGGCTGACTGGCGCTTCTTGGGTGGAAGAGCTGGTGGTGGGCTGTAGGCAGGTAAATACAAACAGAAAAATGAAAAAGAGCCCAAAACCTAAATGCATGTGTCTGAGAAAGTTCTGATTTTAAAGGCAATCTTGCGAGCACACGAAACAAAAACATCCATGTACAGATACATGAACACACCACACCAGCCGTCCTGTGAAATGGTGAGATGATGTATATTATGAAGTCATTTCTTCCTGTAAAACCTAAACGTCTCAGAGGGTTAATATCAGGTCAAAATGAAGAGATGGGAAGAGCAAACAAAGGTGACCATGATATGGAGCTAGCAAAAATGCATTCACACACTCATGCATTGGACGGCCTTCTGATCGGATGACGAGCTCTTTGAGGTTTGGGCGAAAAGGCAACAATACAAATCAAAAGCTTTCATCCAATCCAGAAACTTAGGATATGCAAGGATGAGATGTTATTATGAAATTGGATGACCCTTGCTATGGGTGGACATACTTCTCCTTCTGAGGGGGTCTCCTTGGGCCAGCATCAGCACTCAACTGTGCTCTGTTCCCAGAGTCCAAAGGAAGACCAAGGATGAAAGAAAAACAGTGAGACAGCAGAAAAAGTAAGAAAGGAAGAGACACACCAAACGGTCCGTGTACTTGATGGCCAACCGATTTTTGTTTTGATTTACACAAATAGGAGACGGATCAATTCCTGATTAACGTTTGAAATTAGCAGAACAAAAAGTAAAAAAAAAAAAAAAGTTTGTCTAGAGGATAAAATAAATAAATACACATTTTGAGTGAAAAACCCTAATTCGGAAATCCAAAACCTATCATGGAAATCTTATTCCTGCTGTGTTTGATTGTGACCCAGAGACTGCTCAGTGTACTTTTTGGTATTTGAATTTTCATTTTATTCCAAATGTGACTCAAAATTAGAAACCAGCGTGCATAAAAAAATATTTAGACAAACTTTTAAAAAACTTGTCTCAATATGTTCAAATAAAACTTGTTAAAACCCATAATTTCTTTTATTTATTTGCCCATAAACCATTTTGTAAGGAAGCACATGAAAGTTAAAGTCCCATAGTCATCATCACACCATGGTGAAATTCATCCCCGCTTCTGACCCATCCCCATCGAGGGGAGCGGTGAGCTGCAGCTGTGGCTGCACTCGGGAACTATTTGATGGTTTAACCCCCCCAATCCAACCCCTTAAAACTGAGTGTCAAGCAGGGAGGCACTGGGTCCCGTTTTTGAAAGTATTTGGTATGACCCGACCGGGAATCAAACCCCATCTCCCAGTCCCAATCCCAACACCCTACCACTAGGCCACTGAGCTGGTTACACGTGTTTATAGTACAAATTTATTAAAAAGCTGCCTTGTTACTCATATTTCTAATAATTTACTCCCTCGACATGAGGCTGTATTGACCAATGCGCCTTCCCAACGACAGTGCATGCAAATCTCAGTAGGCGTGCTCTTCTTGGCACACCACCTTCTGAGTTTGTTATGAGGACCAGAAGACGTTTGACCCTTTGCACGTGACATCATCAAAACTACTTCCGGTTTAAGACAGCAAAAATATGTGTTTTATTGTTTTTGAGCAATTACATTTTCCTTATTTAAAACACAAATAAATCCACAAAAGCATGAGTAATTTTAATTTTGTGACTTCAATTTTTTCTTCATAGAATAAAAAAAATACCATATTTTCTTGATTTCATTCATTAATTAAATTTAAAAAGAAAATTCCTTACATTTAGTTTTTTCTTTATGCTACTAAAATAAAAATTCACATACCAAAAAGTACAGCGACTGGGATTGTTGGTGCCTCCGATCACACACTGAACAAACATCTAATGAGACACTGTTTTATATGGATTTGTTACCGTATCAGAAGTAGTGGTGCCTGTTACAGGGATAGTTCATGGTTAGCCAACTTGCAAAACAAACATGTGTACAACACTGGTATAAAAACGCTGAATATTATTGCTTTGTCTGTTCCTGATTAAAATGTGTATCCACATTCCTCCTACTAGATTATGTCTGATTATTTCTGCCCTAGAATTTGACACACATGTATTTATAAGAATATTCAATTTTATAATGGAAAACAGAATAAATCTAAAGTTTAGTAAAGAAATGGCTAGGAATGTAGATGGTGTGCTGAAGTTAGCAATCTACAACGTGTGATCAGAGACACCGACGACTTCCGAGTCACGAACAAAACAAAAGAGATACAATTTTTTCACGTTGGGTTTTTGGTTTCTGAATTAGATTTTGATTTGATTGTTTAATTTTTGTTCTGACAAAAAAATAAAATAAATAAAAATAAAAGCAGAAAAGGTTGGTTTTCCATTTTTATTTCCTAATCTCAAATAGCAATCAGGAAATGACCAGTTTAATCATTTAAGTTTTTTTGTTCCCCAAACATGCGTTGGCTGGCAAGCACACGGGACCCAACCATACAGGGTAATTCAGATTTGAAATGCTGAGAAAAAAATAAACTTACACAAGAGTGAAAGAACAAAACCAGATTTGAAAATACAGCTCAAACCAAACAACTTCTACATTTGAGTTTAAAAAAAAAGACCTGAGTAATTCCTCCATCAATGAAATTTGTCTGTCTTCCTCACTGGCTACGTCTGGTAAAACATTATTTAGAGTGAAACAGCAGAACAAGAACTTGTGAGGAAAGCAGGGCGTTGTGAATAAATTCAGTGATTCAATTATGAATTCATTCTAATGTAATATAACATAACATAGCATAACATAACATAATATAATATAATCACCTGAGCTCTGCCACTTTGGCTTCAGGAAGCGGAGGTTTGGGAGGGGCCACTTCCTCATCGTGTAATTCAGGAGCGGTCTTTGCAGGAGAAGCAACTGGAGCCTTCTTACTTGTGACCTCCAGCTTGCCGTCCTTCTGGGGAATCTCCGCTGACACATTGCTGCATACATTAAAAGCCTTATGAGGGGATGAACCACAACAAGCGTCTGCTTCATGTAAACGTGTGCAGCCGTCCCACCTCTCTGCTGTCGTAACAGGTGGTGCTGGTTTGTTTGGGCTGGTGGGTGATGGATGCTCCTGTTTCTCAATGGTAAGTTTCACCAATTCCTGTTTGTAGAACGAAATCCCAAAAAGATTCAGACTCGTTCACAGCTGCACCCCAGCTAAACACTGCCAACACTAGCAAAAATCAGCCGGAGGGATAATACCTTTACTCCATCCAACACGGCTTTGATTACATTCTTGACAGAGGCCACGTTTTCCTGGTCGTCCAAGTCGATGCCGTCCAGCATCACCTGGTCTGCCCAACGAATGAGATTGGCGAGGCTCTGATAGACACGACTGTGGCAGGAAGACAGTGCTGAGCTGAGGAAACAGGGTGAAATTAAGGAAGGGGGATAATTTAGGGGAACAAATTCACTGGAAACAATGTAAGAGGAGGAAAAATGTGGTTTACAGAGAGTGCTAATTAAAGGTGCAGAAAGGAGAATGGTTCAGTATAACAAGGTTTTGAAGGACAAAACACACATGACTTTTAAAGATTATTTTAGGGCATTCCGAAATGTCGTTCTCTGTGGAGAGTGAGATGCTCCACAGAAGCAGCAAAAATATAAAACCTGGACGCTACCCTTCAGACCAGGTTTGAACAGAAACTTTGCAGATATTTGCTGATTGGTAAAAAATAAATTAATTTTCTAATTTTGATGCTCCCTACTTTCTCCTAGATGCCTAATCAACAACAGCCTTCCCCAGCGTGAGTCAAGTTGGGCGAGTCCAAGAATGCAAATTTTCAGTGAGACATGATTGTTTTGTCTAAACTGAGTTTCTCCATCTATTTTCTTCCAGCGTCTAATGCAGGAAATCAGGTAAGAAGACTATTTTCATGTTCAGCCTGCATGATAAACTCACAGCAGCTGATCATTTTAAGAAAGTAAGTTAAAAAAAATGGTTTCTGAGTGAACTTGGCCTTTGAAGAAGGCAGCGTAAGGGTTGTATTGCTGTTAGCCAATCAGAGGAGAGGCGTTTCCATATAGCGATTATTAATAAGTAGGACTCTTAATACCCCCCCCCCCCCCCCCTTAAAACAGGAGCAGGAGAGCAGAGGCGCCCCCAGAAAATTTTGATAAGGGCGGCCAGACGGGGCCAGGGAGAATTTTGAGGTGGTACACCAAATTGGTCCTTGTGGTAACTCTGGGAGAGTTTAACCTGTGGCAATGAATTGCATGCTCCTTTATTTGTTTTTATATTAAAAATAAATAAATAACACCCAATTTCCATCCAAAACACCCAACTCATATTTTCAAATGTTGCAGCTCATATTGCAGCAATTTTCCAGGATGGCCAAGGCCACCCATTGGGGGCACCACTGCACAAGAGCTTTCTCTCCAGACTCACGAGACATTTTTAAACAGAGGTCAGCCAGGTTGCTAAAATATTAACTATTTTGAATTTAACACAAAACACACGTGTGGATGTTTCCTTTAATCTATTAACTGTATACCCACCTACACATTTTATGGGGAAGTGTTGAAAAACTAGGAAAAAGCCTGACAACAAAGGGAAGAATTTCACAGGAACACAGGGAAGTTTGGTGTTCTTTGTGGATTCAGACCTAACATTAAGGTGTGGCAAAAGCTTGTATCAACGTGCTGCAGTTGATTCACACTGCAAAAATATCACTCTACTGTCTCCGTTGGGCTCATCCTTGAAGTGAGTGGGAGACAACTGAAGTTACTGGAATTAGGAGGATTTGGAGGATGGAAGGATCTGGGTTTTAGGTTACAGCGTAGCTGGGAATGTTGTAGTTTTAATAAAGGTGGAAGAGTTCAGACCAAAGACTGCATAAATAAAGGACAAACCCTCCGTGCCATCACCCGTAGGTTTCAGAAGAGCTGAATTATGCTCTTCAGCCCAGTTCCCACAACCGCCATCTTGGCAACATCATGCGTCTCGTCAGAAGACGTCGGAAAATACAAGAATGGAGATGAGAGCAGGGCTGTGAGGGTGGGGGCAGATGACTGACAAACATCAAACTCTGAGACGAGGTAGCTGCTAGGGTTGGGCGATTTGCATAATTTTTCCCACCGCCAATTCGTCAGTCCCAAAAAAAAGACGATGGGCGATAAATTTGTGATGTCATGACGCATGGACTGATTTGCAAACACAGAAGAAGGTTCAATACATAGATTTTTTTTATATAATCGCAGCGCATATGTTTGCTAGAAGAGAATTTTATATATTTTTTGTTTAATTCATATTTGTTGTTTGTTAGAGTGACGTATAAACGGCTCGTATTAAACATGGTTAAAGTGTTAAAAAGAAGCCTCGTCTTTGTTTCCCACCATTGTGGTATTTTATTTAAACAAAACGTTTTTCTTCTGAACATAGACTACTGGTTTTACTTCTTTTATGAGTTTGACGCGTTTGGACGCACTCTGAGGAGGGAGCATTTGCTCGCAGCCAGAGGTCACATGATCCATTTATCCCTGTCACTTTCGTTTTTTTAAATAATAAATAATCACTTGTTAAATTTCCATTTACTTTAATTAATATTTAGTTCAAACAAGATGAACAGAGAGCCCCAGTAACATAATCAATGCAATTAAACAATTTCACTTTAATTAGGAACATTTCATCCGCTGCGGCCCAAACTCCCATTCCTTCTGCTCCGCGTGAACCTGAACTGGTCACCTGCAGCTTGTGTGTGATGAAATGTCTCTAGAGAGCTTGCTGAAGATGTTATGAGGTTCTGGATTATTGCCTCAGACAGACGCGAGGATGTTCAAATGTTGTTCTGGATGAATCCATGCTCCGCTGACACACTCAAAGCAGGAGCTGAATAACGAGCGCTATTTGAAGTAACCAGAAGTCTTCCAGACTCCCTGAAAGATAGAAGGGTTTCCACTTTCCACTCAACACCGCGCTGCTGTTGCCCAATGTCGAGTGCATCACAGACGCTCTCTGAGCCCCCCCTCAGCACGCTGCTTACGTGTACTGTCAGCAGCGAGAGGCAGAGAAGGTGAAAAAATGCTCAGATGTGCTGATGGAAATCTTTTCGTGACTGTTACCTCCGCAATCTTCTCTGTGCGTAACGTGTAAAATATCGGTCATTACCAAACTAACTCACCTGCAAACAAATAAAAAAATAAACACATCGCCTCCTGTAAGAAAACAACCGTAACATCTCAGCCCATCACCGATTAATTCGTCCCATCGCCCAACCCTAGTAGCTACGGCTAACTGAGCTTGCAAAAGCTAACGGAGGTCGGCGGGCGGTTTTAGCCGGAAAATCGCGGTTGAGTGACTGCTACCCTCTGCCTTCATGGCTGTAGCACTTGTAACATGAGGCCTTTTCTGGAATGAGCAGGAGGCACGTCACTAGCGGTAACACTGATGACTCATCTGCTACCTGTTAATCAAATACACGCCCCTAGGATTTCAAGATTTCATTACATCTAATCGGACGAGTTACAAAAACATTCACCCCCCTCTGAGTTGTCATGATGATAAACTTGACCACACAGATCTAAAATGTTTTTGTGAACCAGGCTGTAAACATGTTTATTTCTGCGGTGAAGTTGGCATTTTTAACATGAGTCGACGGGAACTCTCTCTTTCCTGGAGCCAGCCCCTAAAGGATGAGGGACTAACTGCAATTTTTGTCACTTCTGCGTTGGCTTCTCTTTCAGCAGGTGGAGTTTCTTTCTTGTTTCAGAGCCATGTGTGATGAGAGTTTTTAGAGTGTTATACCAGCTTTTGGTACTTTATTAGACCCACAGAGCAGTATTTAGGAGTTACACTCACTGCTGACCCAGTTATTTAAGCAACACTGGTGTACAGTCAAACAAAGCTGTACTCTGTTGGGATTTTATCTAAATAAATCTGGGGCTGGACTGTTACATGAAAAGCGACGATTTTAACTTGAACCAAACTTCAGCTGTGATCTTTCAGGTCCAAATCTAACTGATGGCAGGTTCTGAGGGTTGCAGCAACAATCCATCAATTGTTTCTGAACACACGGCAGCAAGAGCAAAAATCAGTCACCTTTGACCTCTATACCTTCATCAGCATGGACAGATAGGGAAAGGCCCAAATACAAAGGGAGAGATTCCAACATGTTCTGGCAGTCCAAACAAAATAACAGCTAGTGTTTCTTTAAAGGAGGGGTTGAGTTAAACCGTAGAGGAAGTAAAATGCAGTGAGTTGCGTTGATCCTGAAAGAATTACCTCAGTGACTCAAAAGATCGCAAATAAGACGACACGCAAACAATTAGTAAATGAAACGTGTTGAAAAGAATCTGGCGTTGTGTCGAGGAAGCCCCGAGGTCACAAAAATTATCAATAGCAATAAGTGAAACCAACGTTGTGCAAGTCCCAGCTTGTAAACAGCTCAAAATGTGTCAAAAGACTAGCATGATGGAAATGAACCAACATAAGTACACAGTATATCACAGAGGAACATTATGAAGGATTGTATAGTCACAGTTAAATAAATAAAAGAGGTATAAACCCTCTGAACTTCGACGAAAGATTGACCTACATTCTCTCTCGACTCACCTGTGCTGTAGCCGAGCCTCTACCTGAACCAGAGGAAGGATGGCTTCGAGCACCTTGCTGGCCGAGCCTGGTAGCATTTCCAGCACCTTCTTCTCCACCATCATTTTGTCCACGATCGCCTTGAAGTATTTCAGAGCACTAACCACATCCTTTTCATGTTCCTCCAGTCTGCTAACCTTCTGGAGAAAAACCCAAAATAAAACAAAATATTAGGACAATATATTTATTGACATAAAATTAATATTTTAATAAAATCTGAGATTGGCTTTGTTTTAGAACAGCAGCAAAATCTTTTGTTCCAAACTCAATTTCTCTAAATAAAGGCCCTTCAAGAAGCTACATTTACACATAAACACATTTCAAAATGACTTATTACTTTAATTAAGGATGAAACCAATAAAAATGTATTTACTGATAATTTTTCAACCACAGTAAAAAATAAAGGCCGGCAAGAAATCGAGTTCTTTTCCGAAGAATTTTACTAGCTTCTCTTGTAGTTCTTAGCAGGACTGGTAGAAACATCTACTCATTACACCAAAGCCTTTAAAATGGTAACAGAGGCATTCATTCAAGGAGCAGGCAAGTCCCACTCATGCCTCTCGAGACGCAGACACCTGCTGCAGTGCAGCCAGCGTCCACAGCGACAGGGAGAGTGTGGGAACCAGCAGGGAAGCTCTCACACACACATATTCACAATGGAACACTGGAGTGTAACACATTAGACAGTAAAACAAAAGTCTTATAAATAGGCCAACAAACACAGCGAGTAGGTGGGAAAGAGATGCATTTCCCGGGATACAATTTCTCATGCATGGCTGAACTTGCTCACACCTTGTTAACAGGTTTCTCGGTGCTCTTGGCTGCAGGTTCGGGCTGCGGCTTTCGATTCTTGGTAGGAGTTCTCTTGATCTTGGGTGAGTGGAACTTGTCCTTCAGTATCATGGTGAAAGTGGACAGATGGGACCGTTGTGACTCTGTGGACAGAAGGAAAACAAAGGAATTTGAGTGGTCAGTCAAAATGGGGGGGGGGGGGGGGGATGATCTAGAAGCAGCTCAGTAAAGTGAAGTGTTAAATGTTCAGTTGATAATCTGATCCAAACACGAGCAGGAAACTAGCCTGGAAAGTCATCCTACATGCCGGTGAACCTCAACAGGCAGCCCGCAGGCCACACCTGGCCCATCAAACCTTTGGGCCTCAACAGTCAAGGGATTTTAAAGTTTAGCAGCAAAATTCATGTCCAAAATATCAATAATTGTTTACGTTCTCCAAACAACTAAAACTACAATAAAAAAAAGTTTGATTGGAAAACAAAACCATTTCAAACATCAATAAATGAAGGAATTTTGAGTCTGGCTCTTAGCGATTCTTGATTACGATTCTTTCAAGAGGCGGAGTCAGTCAAATAACTTTACATGTTTTAAATGAGCAGGCTAAGCAGAGGTCTTGCTTCATAAACCAATCTGAACTTCTCCGTGAATTTTGATTTTATTAACTTTCTAAGGGGAAGCCATGCTTTAGAAAGTAGTGACCCAAACATTTCTGGTGGATTCTTCTTTGTATTTGGCAGCTTCTTCTTCCTGATGGTGGACCATGTGTCAAAACTAGGAATCGGAATTTAAAAAATCTGAATGATTCAGGGAAAAACTGAAAAATGTGTAACTGATGCTTGATGTCCAACCCTACTGCAGATGTGACCATAGGGAGCCTAACCCCGGGTTTCCACAGGAGCCGTCAGCAGCACGTTACTGCAGCAGCACGTCTTGCTGCTGCTTGGCCCTTCCCACGAGACGCGAAGCAGCAGGGGAGCAGCTGTCACCGACAGAGCACGAAGTCACACGAGTGACTTCGTCAGTAAACACAACAACAAGCAGGACAAAACTACAACATGGTTTGTGTTTTATGTTCTGTCCGTTTTATAATCGCCAATACGGACCTGAAAAACAAAGGAGACCGCTAGCTAGGTGATAACTTCTCACGGGGACGCACATTTAGTAACCTTTTTTAAAGTAAAGCAACCGGAAGGCAGTACGTTCTTTATTCTGAAAATCTCGGGAGCTTCTCTCCATTTCCACGTCCGATTTCCTGTCTTTCCTTCCCCAAAAATGTCGAACATGACCCGTTTCAGAGGCGTCTCGCGTAGAAAATAGAACCGGCGCGTAAAGGCCGCGACATGCTGCTCCTGAGACGCGGCCGACTCGCGCTGCTGACGGCTCCGGTGGAAAAGGTTCTGTTGACCACAGCGGTTCCTATCAGCAGCTATGACGTGCTGCTGCAGTAACGTGCTGCTGACGGCTCCGGTGGAAAGCCGGGGTAGTCTCCTTTTTTGGTCGGTCCAGAAAAAAATGAATGCAAGTCAATGGGGCAAAAAAAATCTATTTTCTAATCCGCTTTGCCTTACGCCCCTGCATTTTATCTTTTTTTTTTTGTGTGGCTATAAATATGCTAGACAGACTCCTTCAACAGCTCCCATATGTGTGAGACAAGGACAGAGCAGACCAGCATGGCTGTGATGAGAAAACAATGGCAGCATCAAAGGAAAGAATATTCCCTCATTTCTGTTAATCCAAAAATAAGTGTTCACTGGCTCGCTGTAAGCCTTCACCTCTTTCCTTCCATGGCTCTCTACACTAAAGTAAATCAGCAGATAAATAGTAATAACAGCTCAGGGAGTCAGCAGGAAGTGTGGGTTTTTAGCAGCGACAAAATTACACTCCTATCTGCGTTAATCTCCCTTTAGCTCGATGACAGTGGGATCTGGTATTTTATGGCCATCAATGCTAAAAACATAGAGCGCTGAGCAGCAATCAACAGCAGGAAAACAGAGCAAACCAGACTTCCAGCCGAGCAGCCCTTTTCATCTACACCATCGATCAACATGCCACGCACACATCCCACCCAACTGCTCCTTCTCTCCAGCCTTAATCCTCCTCATCCCCTTCGCACCAAGCAAAAAAGCCAAAGATCGCTGAGGCAGCCGAAGACGACTGTGTGTCTCATTAAAAATGTTGATGAGAATGTTCCCAGAAGAGTTTCCAGCAGATAACAAGATATGAAAGGGGGGAGTAGGAGGTATGCATGACCCTTCAGCTTCCTGTTTAATGCTCCATTTTGAAAAAATTAAAATAAAAAACCAAGATCTCATCTCAATACAGTGCAAAAATAAGCAGTACAAGCTGCTTTGTAAGCATTAGTAATTCTCTATGCTGCAAAGCTGATTCATTAAACCACAGAGTAACTGGAAATGCATCTCGTGGCACTTCATTACCTTTGAATTGCAACTGACCTAGTTTTTAATCTCCAAATAGGTCAAATCAGCCACAAATACCAAGATTCCTCAGAAGTTTGCTTCCTCTGTTTAAAAATGCACTTATTTTAATGTGACATTTAAAAAAATCTGTTTCATGATTGATTAGTCTAGCTGCATGAATAAAAGCTGAGGCCAAACTCCTATGTGATCCAGATGCAGCTTTACATGTCTTAAAATTAAAGTTTTCAAAGGGTAAACAAAGCAGAATATAGAATAAAACAGCATGTGGACAACCTGACAGGATTACAAGGAAAAGGAGATTATCAGAGAGCACAGTGGTGACAGAGTGAAGGAAAGACCTCGCAGATGGAGGAAAGTTTCTCATCTCAACAGCTGTCTAGGATGAGGTATTGTAGCTAGTCTACTGGGACTGTTTGGTGCACCTAGACACAAGTATGAATGGCATATTTGGGACTAATGCATTACAGACTAAACTTATAAGTGGAATCCAGAAATTATAGCCAAAACTAAAGAAGCTCCTCTACAGGTGAATGGTCCCATTCCCTCCAAGTAAACCAAGAAAAGAGCCACCATTGGAGTTTTACGTTATGGTGAGCAGAGGCAAAGAGGTCCGCAGAAGGGAAATTACACATTTAACAACATTTCTTAAGTTTAACGTAGAAAAGCATCCAAACCACATATAGGAGTTGGAAAATCTTTTCAGAATGTTTTTCGGCACAATTGACAGGAACTGCAAGAACATTTGTGACGCCCCCTGACCAGTAAGTTTCGTCAAAATTAGGACGAAGTAAGCTAGCATTAGCTTCACTTTAAGCTAAGCCTTCCACATGAAAATACATCAGCAGATGATGGATGAATTCATCTGGTGCGAAGGATCATCATTGGTCTGTGATCTGCACGAATCTCTCAGGACGCACATGGTCAGCGGATCGGTCACGTGGAGGGCAGGGGTGCCACCAGAAAGAAGATGGTAAAAACTGCTGCCACCTAGCAGTGGGAGTTGGAATTGCACCTCACAAGAAAGTACAGTAAAAACTTTCATGTAAATTTGTAAAAAAGTTTATCAGTTTTTCATATCAATTCAATTTATCACACAAAGTATTGCAATATTTCAGTGTATCAATATTGTCCTACATCTCTAGATGTTACGCTATAAAAATATTTTACTGTAAAACAAGACAATTAGAATATAGGAACCAGCCTTATACTTCAGATTTTTATGTTATGAATATGACAAATGAGGTCAACTTTTACTTAATGTATAAAGCACTTTTATTTCACACAAGGAAAGACTATTTCTTTACTCTCTTATGAGACACTTAAGTACTTTTTGATGAAATGGGCGAATTTTTCATTTAAGGATTTACAGGCAGATCTTTTAGTACCATAATAAAGTACAGAATAAAACAAATAATTTAAAAAATAACAAAACATAAGAATCATAGTTTCCTTCCTTCTACCTGGCACCAGCACAGGGAATGAGGCTGATGGTGCCAGGTTAAATACTCTCACAGTGACTTGTCCCCGTTTGGCTGATACAAACCTCTCTGTCACCTGTTTCCTGTTTTCCGGACATACACACTCCTCTGACAGAAATTCGGGCCGCCACAGCGATTATTACATTGGCCTAAAGTTTCAAAGAAGCACAAAGGCAGGAGAATACAGCGAGGTGCTCTGTTATAGTCTTGCAGGATTTTCAGTGTCCGCTCCTCCGACACAGAGTGACCAGCCATCCCCTCTGCTTTCCCTAGCTTCCTGTCTGCCACTGAACAGAGTTTATGAGCTGCTGAGGTCATGGGTTGTAATGTTTCACTGAATCAAACTAGTCATGGACGAAGCACAAGAGTGACAGAACTCTCACAGTGAAACCTCTGTGAGAGAAGGAGTAGATGAATGAAAAAAAAAAAAAAAAAGACTGAGCCAGTCACTAAAATCTGACTGACAAGAGTAAATAGCAAAGTATTTAGCAAGCGAACTTCTTAATCAGGCATTACGTTTGCTTAGACAATTTGTTGCTCTTAAAAGCCACGTGGAAATCTCAAACTCAAACCTGGGAGTGTGTGTGCATCACTCTGTGCAACAGCAGATTCCCAAGAAGCTTCCGGGCTGCTGAACTCAGACTTTGTTGCACAATAAATACACGAACACGCACATCCCACACCGGGCTTGTAAATTTATGGATGCCGCAGGCCACAGCACACTTAAAATGTTAAGTGCAACACTTATAATTGATTGGGTGTACATTTCACCTCCACCAATTCTACAAACCTCCACATTCAATCTTGCTGCCTGCAGGTGATGCATGGACACCAGCTTTTCCAAATACATTGCATCATCTCCAAAGATCCAACCGCAACTGCAGAGACATTAGGTCATCTGCAGCTCTTTCATGAGATTTTGCAAATAACCTTTACACCTTTAACTCCTGTTATGTTTAAAATACAAATTTCGATGGCTCATTTAGGTGGCTGATCAATATGTTTTCCTCTACCACTGATTTACCAGACTAAAACTGTTTATGTTGGAATCCATCTAAACTACTTGATTATCAAACAAGAGCACGGTTACGGTGATGAGTGGGATTTGTCGGACTTAAGTGGCAGATTGATGTGACCGCTGTTCAGTTCAGGTGTGATCTTTGCAGGACAGCTGGCTAGCCCTTTGCTGGACCTCCCACTGAAGAATAGGATGAAAAGAGGGTGGCA